CATTCCAACGTTTCTTCTTAAAAAGGCAAGAAATAAAAGGATATGCTGAAAATGGAGCTTTTATTAATAACTTGTACCACATAGTCCTGAGAATTTGCCTAATATATGTGATATGAACATGATGGCTGAAGCCCAAATTTTGGCAAATATTTGAAATCCTGGAGGCACACGATTATCAAATTCTGAATAAAATATCTGAAAATAATTTTGCGTTAAAAACGCGCGATAAAACTATAAAAACATGTAAGACATTTGAACGAGTTGTAATTCGTCCCTCAATTCCCTTATCCCCTCTTCAATTTAAGCTATGCAAAATATTTAAATTCAGGCGAGAATTGAGCATCACTCGAAAGATCACATCGTTCTTCAATGATGGGAAGCGAAATACTGACCATACTTTCGAATTAACCGTCATACATTTTTGATTCTCATAAACAAGGGGTAAGGAATGACAGGTTGTAAAGGATTTTCAATATTTTTTCTCAACTGCATAGTTTACAAACGAAAACACGTCAAGGTTGCGAATATTTTCTTAAAGACAGAGTGATTCACTGGTATTGGTTGCGAACCTGCGAAGAATCTTGTTGCGAAGCAAAATTAGTGCCTTAACGACACCTGGTTCGACCTCTTTTCTGAGAACTATATTTTTCCTAAAGCACAAAAAAAAATCTTGAAAACCCCTAAAGTAATAAAGATGGTAGAAAATATTGGAGTTCGATGAATAGAAAAGTAACGAACGAAAAAGTACTGAGTTTTCATGACATTAAAGAAAGGGCATGTTGTTACGGTTTGCTTCTCGCTTCGCAACAGGAAATATTTTCTCAGGAAGTCGCATCATAATTTATCGGCTTTTCCTCGGAAGAACAAACTCGCAAGGAACAGAAAAAAAATAAGGGTAAAAACGAGAACCCGTTCGAATCTTTTCCCCCACAAGTTTTCTGAAGCTCGCTTTGTTTGCTGGCGAGAGATTTCCGTGCCAAGTCGAAACGAGCAAGAGGCAAGTATTTGCGCGCAGGAACCTATTGACCCAGAAAAAGAAGCCTTCGCCTGTTGCAGGAACATGACGCTGTTCGAGAGGCTTGTGAAACGGGATCAGTTTCTGGTCCTTCAGTCAGTCATTTCCGGTTACCACCAGCCTGTCACATAAGAGTTGAAGCTTTAACCCTGAATCGGGAGCCGAAAAGGGTTCGGGTTTCCGGGACTCGAGCTTTCAAGGATTGTTTTCCTCGAGCATTTGCTGAGTAATTCTCTGCCTACATCCTTCGTGCTTTTTAAATAAAAAATATTAATAAATTTGAACACCTTTAAAAAAAAAGAAGAGAGAAAACAGAACAGGTCGCCGATTCCGGAAGTATGCCTCATCCATTATTCGTTGAAGAATTTGAATATCAATTGCAATCCTCAGTAGTTATACAGTATAAAACTTTATATGGGTTTGACTGTGTAGACTTGAATTCCTCTGCCATGGGCAAAGCATCTGTAATTAAAAATTAAAAAACTAATGCAATCTAGAATCAAGAAAACCAACAGACTTGAAATTATGATTAAAACATCATCAGTAAGTATTCCAGTATGGACAATGGTAGCACAAAATTGCATCTAGAGGCACGATATTGAAAAAACTTGAAAATATAATTGCAAAAACATGATTACGACTTATTGCTGGTGTAAGAGCCCTTCCCAAAAGTTGAAGCCTGTTTTCAAACAAAAAAATCAAATAGACAAAGGGCTAGAAAGTCGAATTGAACCTGGTAAATCAACCTTCAACTGGCCAGCAAATTTTCTTCGGCGGAAAGAATAGAGAATTAAAGGGAATTGCTATTTGTGATATTCTGATGATAGCCTTCAATTAGTTCTTGAATGGTTTTGCAAGATGCTCAATGTGGATGCAAGGGTTAATTTGCCTCATCAGCCCTTCAATTCCTTTCAAAGCACACCATAAAGCTACATTTTTATTGCATTTATTTTTCCCGTGTCAATAAGATGATATCCGCAAGGCCTCCAAAAAATTCCAGATATGGAAATGTGAGGGTGAAATACTGTACTTTGAGTTCTTGAGATTGACATTGCACAGTTTCTAAGGGAATTCAGACATAGACTTTCAAAATATTCAACATTATATAGGGGAGTATTTGACATGGAGAGGTTTTTTTTATCAAGTTTATGGGTGTATGCATACATGTCAGATGTCCAGTTGTATTTTGTGGATTGTATCTTTGTTTACAGTATTTTTGTGATCCATCTGTGCTCCGTTTCCTGCTCTGAAGTGATTGAATGTCTTTGAGTGGATTTGGGTTGGGTGGGGAGGGGATTTGGATGTGGAAATCTTGATTGAACCTTGTGAACGCAGAAAAGAGGCAAATAAAGTGCTCTGTTCATTCATTCATTCAAGTTTATACTGTAATTGAAATTTCTGCCATTATACATTCTTTCATTGCCGCTCATTTCCCCCCTTTTTTGATTCCAATGATCCTCTATTCACAATTTACACATATCCGTTTATAGTCATGACGCACATTGCATCACTCAAACCTAATTAAACCCCCCCCCCCCCTGAAATGACGATTGAGTCTCGACTTGATTGATTGACGCCCCGCATATTCCCGCAACACGCAAAAGCTCGAACCACATCTCTCATATGCTCCGTGTCGAGCCTCCCATGCAAAAGCCGTCGTCACGAACCGCAGCTGAAAATGAGTCTCCATGATAAGAGCATACACGCAAGACGTGAAAAATAAGTTTTATAAAAAAAGGAGAGAAAAATAAGGCTGGGAAGTTAGCAGATTAAGCTCGGAACAGGAAGAGAAAGAAAGAAAGAAAGAAAGAAAGCTGATGTGTGTGTGCTTTGGGAATAGGGTCGACGTCGACGTCGTCGTCGAGGCGCGGCTGCAGTTGTGCTGCCAGCAGCAGTGGCGTGAGATTCACGCACGATTTTCCGCGAACATTTGACGCAGGGCCCCAGTACTCATGCACTTGTGACTAGAAAAAGTTCACTCCTAATGTCGTTCGATTCAGAAGTGTAAAAAAAAAAAAAATAGACAGCTGTAAAATTGAAAAAAACGGCTGAGTGAGGAAAATGCCGCAGAAAATCAATTCGTCGCGCGGCAGAAAATACTGCAGAAGAAAATTAGGGTTGTTTACTTGTTCCATTTCTGCGCAGGTTTCCATCTTTCGCTAGCTTCTATCAACAGTTGACCTTATTCCTCCAAGAAGTACAGTGATTTGATTTTCCTGATTTTTGGAAGACAAAAGCAGAATTTCTTCCTTCTTCTTCATTCGAAGAATTTAGTGGCGCTTAGAGAAGAAAGGGCGAGTGAATATATTATTAAATATTTTATCGATTAAATTTGTGAGCATGGTTCGGTGTTTCAGTTAATATCCCCGTTTTCCACAAATTTTCCCAGTGTCAAATTTACAACAGTTTTCATTGCAATTTTTATCGTTGAAAACTATTTCAATTTTTAGTTCTCCGCTAAAGACAAACATAATCAGTTACGACAAGTTTTTCAACCGCAAAAACGGGTTTAATTTCCCTGGGCGAGACTGAGCTTGAGTTCAATTTTCTCCTCATCTTTTTCCTCCTGTTCTTCCCCATGATAAAAAAATCAAACTGTTGTTATCTTAGAAATACATTAACTTACAGAATACCCTTTTTGGAAGTTTAGAAGAAACCATTTAGAAAGCCTAGAAACGNATGCTCCGTGTCGAGCCTCCCATGCAAAAGCCGTCGTCACGAACCGCAGCTGAAAATGAGTCTCCATGATAAGAGCATACACGCAAGACGTGAAAAATAAGTTTTATAAAAAAAGGAGAGAAAAATAAGGCTGGGAAGTTAGCAGATTAAGCTCGGAACAGGAAGAGAAAGAAAGAAAGAAAGAAAGAAAGCTGATGTGTGTGTGCTTTGGGAATAGGGTCGACGTCGACGTCGTCGTCGAGGCGCGGCTGCAGTTGTGCTGCCAGCAGCAGTGGCGTGAGATTCACGCACGATTTTCCGCGAACATTTGACGCAGGGCCCCAGTACTCATGCACTTGTGACTAGAAAAAGTTCACTCCTAATGTCGTTCGATTCAGAAGTGTAAAAAAAAAGACAGCTGTAAAATTGAAAAAACGGCTGAGTGAGGAAAATGCCACAGAAAATCAATTCGTCGCGCGGCAGAAAATACTGCAGAAGAAAATTAGGGTTGTTTAATTGTTCCATTTCCGCGTAGGTTTCCATCTTTCGCTAGCTTCTATCAACAGTTGACCTTATTCCTCCAAGTATCAGTTTGATTTTTCTGATTTTTGAAAGACTGGAAAGCAGAACTTTGTCCTTCTTCTTCATTCGAAGAACTTAGTGGCGCTTTGAGAAGAAAGAGCGAGTGAATATATTATGAAATACTTAAACGATTCAATTTGTGAGCATGTTCCGGTGTTTCAGTTTCGATACCCGTTTTCCACAAATTTTCCCAGTGTCAAATTTACAACATTTTTCATTGGAATTTTTATCGTTGAAAACTATTTCAATTTTCAGTTCTCCGCTAAAGACCAATATAATCAGTTACGACAAGTTTTTCAACCGCACAAACGGGTTTAATTTCCCTGGGCGAGACTGAGCTTGAGTTCAATTTTCTCCTCATCTTTTTCCTCCTGTTCTTCCCCATGATAAAAAAATCAAACTGTCAAATTTTAAAATGCAACTGCTTTTAATTGTTTCAGCAAAGCTTCAGATGCTGAGAGGAATTTCAAAAATTTGAATCTGTGTTACAAGATTTGTTTCAAATGACTTCATTTTTGCTTTGACTGCATGGTTCATTTCGCATAATCTATTTCTGAGCTCAACTCTATCACTCAATTCACGTTGACTTTTCTTGAAAGCTTAATTGCTCAACACTAATACATTTTTGAACTTTTTTTTTGCATATTTTACTTCAATTGTGGTATTTTCCTTATGCTGAGAACTTTTATCCTGCAAACCACGCGTATAGTGACCCTTTTATTGTGATCCCATCGGAATTTTTTTCAGAAGCTCCGTCGACGTCTCGTTCTCTTCGCCTATTGCAAATTTTATCGACGGCGAAGGATAAATATTTTGATTTTGAGAAAAAGGAGACGAGTGTCGGTGATATAGACAAATTCGTGAATTTGCGTGGTTCGCCACGATGTTGACCGTGCCCAGTCTTGGCACCCTCAGTACGGCCTACCAGATCAAGAACCCGGCAAATTCTGGGTCCTATTTGTACACGCATCCGCGAAATTTTTTCGATTCCCCGCTTATGCACTTGCTGGAACCCGATGCTCTCGGGCCATTGCAATCTTCTGCAGAGCGTTCTTCTGTGAGTAAAATTTTAATAAATATTCAATTATCCATTTTCTTCAAAATTTTACGAACTTTGAATAAAGGGGCGCAGCTGAAAGAATTAATCGGATGAAAATGAACTGCATTCGAAGGTTCTGACAGAGTGAAAACGTATGCAAGAAATGAAAATTTTTTGCAGCGGTGTAATTTAAAATAAAAGTTTAATGTCTACAAAAAAAATTTTTACGCATTGAATTCATGCGATGCGATGGAGTAGTACAGTATTCTCAAAAGTTTTCTTTCTTCAATTCCCGATATCATTTCACGCAATCATAAATAAGCCTTGAAAACATATACCGAAGATGTCTCCACCGACTTCAATTTAGAACTAAAACGAAAGTGAGAAATGCATGAGCTGTGCTGTGCAGTACATCAATTGGAATTTTCATCTTCAACACAAAAAATTCCGTGAACATTGTCTGGTAATTTCAGGTGATGAAGTCAAACATATCATCAAAATGTGTAAACTTGAATTCATGATAAATTACTCTTTCACGCATTCATGTCAGCTGTTCGGATTTCAACTCTCCGAGTGATCAATAAATTTCTTCTGCTGATTTCTTTAAATAGCGTTGGGTGTTTAGTGGTGGGCAGGCTGACCCGAACCCTCTCGGGTCTCCCTCAACAACAAATGCTTCAACTTCCAACCATGCCACAGTGATGAATGTAACCTCACCTGCGTCCATGTCAGGAAGTGGACAAGGTAGCAAAAACAGCGCTGTCAAAAAAAATTTTTACGCATTGAATTCATGCGATGCGATGGAGTAGTACAGTATTCTCAAAAGTTTTCTTTCTTCAATTCCCGATATCATTTCACGCAATCATAAATAAGCCTTGAAAACATATACCGAAGATGTCTCCACCGACTTCAATTTAGAACTAAAACGAAAGTGAGAAATGCATGAGCTGTGCTGTGCAGTACATCACTTGGAATTTTCACCTTCAACACAAAAATTCCGTGAACATTGTCTGGTAATTTCAGGCGATGAAGTCAAACATATAATCAAAATGTGTAAACTTGAATTCATGATAAATTACTCTTTCACGCATTCATGTCAGCTGTTCGCATTTCAACTCTCCGAGTGATCAATAAATTTCTTCTGCTGATTTCTTTAAATAGCGTTGGGTGTTCAGTGGTGGGCAAGCTGACCCGAACCCTCTCGGGTCTCCCTCAACAACAAATGCTTCAACTTCCAACCATGCCACAGTGATGAATGTAACCTCACCTGCGTCCATGTCAGGAAGTGGACAAGGTAGCAAAAACAGCGCTGCTGAATCGTCTTCTGGCAGCACTTCATCTGTGGGAACCACGGACTCTCTCTACTTTGAAGTTAGTAATACTGTATACGATTTCTTTCAAAATTTACTCGTTTGTAAACTGTACGACGAAATCCTATTAATCTTATTAGTCAATCAATCTTGCTCAAGAAAAATATAACTTGAACAAACGCTTGCATGAAATAATCAAATACTCCATGTAGAAAGCTTAGCCAACTATAACGACACCAAATTGAATATAGCCTAAACGACCTAAACTAACATCTGACTAGACTAATAGCTAGTTTTTTAATCTCCAGTGACCAGGAATCATCTTTCCTGAATCTAATTTGCTTCTGTATTGCCTCAAATTATGAACGCCTTGAAATAAAAAAAAATCAATAGACAAAGGAATTTAAAAATTACTGAAAATGTTATACTGGACAGTTAGACTCCCTCTCTCTAAAAAAATTTCTTTGTATTACAGTCAAACCTCTCTGAATCAAATTTCAAGGGATAAGCAAAACAAATTTGACTTCGGGAGGTTTTGAATCACAATGTAGAGGTTTGAGCTACAATACAAAGCCCTTCTCTTCTGGGAAACATAGATTCATAGAAGAATTGGCCAAAATCATAAATGGTGATGTTCTGGGGCTTGTATTGCTTCTGAAATGAGTTGAAAGGATGCTGAACTTGGAGGCAGGGATTCGATTGCCTAATCAAGTCTTTCACTTCTTTTCAAAACACATCAATTTATGTATTTATTGCTTTTTTTCTTTCTTGTTTCAAGAAAATAATAGCCAACAGGCCACAGAAAATTAGACTTGTGGAGATTTGAAGGGAAAGGACTTTGACTTAAGGAGGTTTTAAATGCTTTTTTTTCTAAGGGGATTCAGACTGGGACCCAAACAAAAATTTCTTAGGGAAGTATTAGACTTTGGAAGGTTTGAGTTATCAAGTTTCAACTATGTATAACAACTTGTCCCATAAATGTTCTCTACCTCTTCCCATGTGGTTTCTCTATAACAAAATTCTCTCTACAAACATTTTTCTTTTCTCATCCTGCTTATTTTATTGTAGATTAGAGAGTCCACCTGTAGTGTATCACATTGAAAACCACAGCATGTCGTCCTACAGTTCACATGTATGAACATCCAAGTCAAGTTTTGAAATTGAAAATTTTGCATTTTGAGTTTAAAAAAATTCAAATGATCAGCTTTTAGACTTTAGAGCAGTGTATTGAGTATTTAATTTGAAGTTCCACTGCACCAAAATGGTTAGGGGAAAATGCTGGCATGGAGATGATGGGCAAAATACATGTCAGAGAAATTGTTCAAAATGACTGACTGTCAGAGAAATTGCTGAGAGTTCTATTAAACGTACCTTCACAATTACTCATATTCTGGATAAATCAACTAAGTGCAATTAAAATTTAGCCCCAGAAATGCTGGATGTAGAAAAGGGAAATCAATTCGAGCTCTGATGCGGTAATTCGTTTTCATGCGGTAGTTCATTCCATTTATTGCAAATACAGTAATGTACTGCATATCCGGTGAAGCGGAGGTTGTTTTTTTAAATACTTCACTGTTATTCTCTTTTGCACTAATTTCCCCCGAAATTTTCTCAAGTTCTTTTCTTTCTTGCGTGAAATACACTTTACTTCCACCAAAAAATGTTTCCACCGCCACTTTCTCATGGCTCTGTGGAAATAATGTAAATAAAAATAAATTCAGTTCTCGAAAGCATCGTTTTCTTTGAAAAAAGGGCACATTGCGTTTAAGATGTTGAAATTCCACATTGCTGCTTAAATGATCTCCTCGTGCATGGAAAAAAAAAAAAAAATTTATAGGTGAGATACGTGGGGAGAATCAGGGTGTCGCAAAGCAAAGGCCCTCCGTCCTTCATAGAAGACGCCCTGGAAAAGCTGAAACAGGTCGAGAGCCAGAACAAATCTGGGTCCTCCACGACCCCCCAGCAACAACACCCACAACAATCGCAGCAACAGCAGAAACCAAATGAGCAAACAAAGCCCGCAAGCACGATGATGCATCCGCCTTCACATCCATCGACGTCGTCCTTGTTGGCCGCTGCCAAGGCCTATTTGCCCAGTTCCCCGAAAAGGAAAGAAGTGTCCTTTAACGAATCCCTGTTGACCTGCAACAATAAGCACCGGGATCACGACAAATACCCGCCGAGGCCGCATTCGCCGCAACCAGGCTCAGCAGTCGCGACGAAACCCATTCCGCTGGGCACTGTTGCTGGGGTCGGCGTCAGCAAGGATGCTGTACAGGTTGCCGTCATCCCGCCCACCCCCGAGGACCGGTTCCTTGCCAACAAGGTGAGAGAAAGAGAGAGCGAAAGTAGAACAAGTTTGGGCAAATTTAATCGCCTAAAACTTGACTTCAACTTTTGCAACTTGCGGTTATCCTGCCAGGAATTTGCTCAGGAATGCATCATGAACCTCCAGCGAAGAGAACCGGTAGATAAAAGAACAGTATATTCTCATTACAACGAATCTTGCTATAAACCAATGATGGATTGCCATGAAGTCGTTTTTTAGGTTCCTCTTTAAAACCCACATTGCGAAAGGAGTTCCTTCATGAAGCATTTTTTGTTACAACAGAGCAATTTTACTGGTCCCAACGGCCTTTTTGTTACGAAATTTTACGGATTCACGCCCACAAGAAGATATCCCTTCACAGAAATATGTGAAGACATCCATTTCAAAAGCTATATTCAACAGTTTTGATCATTCATTACTTGAAGATATTTTATTAATTGCCAGTTGAAAATATATTTCCACTTCTTTTGATCCTTCCAGGATTTCATCGCAACCTACTAATCATATTCATTTGATTTTATTGCTGACTGAGAACTGTATTTTATTCATTATGACCGGATTAAATTCGACATGACCTAATGGGAATCTATTCGTGTGAATTAGCAAAGGTCATCTTATTGAATTAATACGTTTCGTTTTTGCAAGGCTTCGCCTGAGGTTCGTCGGTTGACAAGAAACAGAACTGCTAGTGGAAGCGAGGTTCCGAGAAGCCAAAACGCACCAGAACCGGTCGAAGGTCTTAATCAAGGGTAAGAAACAATAGCATTCAAAATATAATATTGTAATGTGATGTAAATTTTGCATCTTTTCCATGCCTCTGCTTCAGCGGATTCCGAGTAACTCCAACTTTCACTCTTCAAGAGCAATTTTTTTTTCTTTAATTTCTGGTCTTTTGAGAGCAGAAAATTTTGCCTTGAAGAGGCACCGGTTTTTTTAGTTTTCATTTTCGCTTAATGCACGATAAAAGGAGTTCCGAACGTGCATTTTTTAAATGAAGAAATACGCATTCAGTGCTGGGGCCTTTGTCTCATTCAAGGCCTGAGTGCGAGGGTTGATTCATAAGTTTTAAAAATAATGCTTCGCCGATGACTGTGGCATAATAAAGAGAATACTGTATTATTTAATACAAGAAGGACGAAGAGCATAATTTGTTTCCAAGTACTGTTCGATCATTTTTGAATCATTGCTAAGTTCTTTGCTCAAAGACAGAAATTCAAATGTTAATTTATTTCTCTGAGTATATCAAGTTCATCAGACACCGCGTTTTTTTGCAAAAAAAAGAAGTAAAAAATGCAAAAAACAGTTCTAAAAAAAAAAAAAACCGAACGAGTAAAAATTGCATCTCATTTGACACACACATTCATGGGCAGGTGTTCAGAACAAGCCAAATTTGGTGCTGAATGATTTGGGTGCTGAATTTTGATTTCGTCCTGGACAATTGGCGAGCAAAATGGTTCGATTAAAATTGGTATACTATACTCAGCTTATTTCAAGTATTTTGTTGTTTTTCTTGTTGTAAATTATACTTCAGTGGACTATGATTCAAAATTTTGGGTACCCAAAAGAAATTCAGTTCAAGGAACTGCTATGAGTTTTGAACCATCCCTCGTATATACGAGAACATGTATTTTTCATGAAGTGATATTCATCATAGAAACCATTTCCGAATTTCTTTATTCCTTGGACAATGAAAAAGACGAATGATTCCGTTCGACAGGACATCGGACAGGAGAAGTGCGGGACCGGAAGACAACAATCACCGGAAGCATTCAGCAGACTCGACAACATCATCGACAGCCGGTGACAAATCGTCATTGTCGGCATCTGCTTCCGGAACTCAGACGGGTTCTTTGCAAACTTCCAAAAACCGGACGATGGTTTTATGCATCAGTTCAACGACTGTCAGCATCGTGAGTCCTGACAAGAAATCAGAGTTGCTCAAGCGATCGATTCGAGACATCACTCATTGCTCTCAGGTTTGTCAAGATACGAAATTTTTCATCTCTCATGAATAAAATTTAGAAGCTAATATTCGATTTCTTTTATATCTTTAAATCAAGGGTATTCAACACTCGGACCACTTTGGCTTCATCTGCCGGGAACGAGCCATAGATTCCTTTGTCGGATACATTTTCCAGTGCCAATCTACCAACATTGTGGAGTACATCATGAAGGGTAATGACAAAAACTGAAAATTAAAATATTCATCATATGATTCTTGACTTGAAGGAAACTGGAACTTTCAGTGATTTTGGCTCATCCTTGATTGACTGATTGGTATACAAACTTTATTTTGTGCCTTTTATTGTTCACAAGATTCCATAAATTCCCCACACATTTATATCCAACAGATTTCGGCATAAAAAATTCCCTGTTGCCAATAAAAGAAAGTACTGCACATCACAGTACATAAAAATGAACGATGAATGAATTGCCATCGTTTTTTTTTTAAGAATGGCAGAAATCACAACGTAAAACAATTACTGAGCAATAAGTGAGCCCAAACTGAAGTGCAAGTTTTTCAACCTGTTTCTAGAATTTTTTTTAAAATTTCTTAAACATTTAAATTAAATTCCTGAACAATATCTTTAAAAATAATTTTTGAGGAGAAATCATATTAGGCTAACATTTTTTCTGGTTCTCTAAGAGTTTGAAGAGCAACTTTTTATTAAGCTGTGAGAAATTTCAGTCTTTTTTTTTCAAAGTTTAATTCTCATGTGTGGAACAGTGGCCATGAGGAAAGGGGTATTCTGCTGGTGCAGTAACTAATATCTTTGTAACCCCTGATTGATTTCACTTTTCGAATCAGTTGCACTAACGTTTTTCCATCTACTTGCGCGATTATTTCAAGTCTGCTATTGTTTTAAATATTAAATCTTAGAATGTATATGCCGATAGAGTAAGCTAGAATAAAAACAATCAAGATTATGAGTGTCACACAAAAGCAGAAGTTATTTCATAAGAAGTAAAAATCGATGTCACAGATTCTAATCATCATGAGAGGTGAAGGGATACGAAAATTATGTCGCAATCAAACTCGTAGAAAATTCGATTGACAAAAATGTGTTCAATGCCTGCAGCTATTCAAGTCTGCTTCCAGGCAGCAATGGAAGCATCCAGACAAGAGCTTCGAGCCGAAGGACTCTGCGAATATTGTCCACTAGCCTGGTATCAGAGGCTCTGTGCAGTTGTCAATGGTAATAACAACTCTTTTCCCCCCGAGGTACTAAATTATAGAAAATATAATGATTCGAATTTCCTTTTTTTTTATAGGTTTGGCCCTGCCAAAGGCTTACCAAGTTTTAGCATCCAAAGTAGACGGACTTCCAGAGAAAGACCGGGATCTCATTTTAGCCAAGTTGCAAGGAGGCGAACCTTTCGACACGCTCAAACAGAAAAACACTCTGCTCATGATGTTGATCAGGGCTCATTGCGAAGCTAAACAAGCTGAACATAGCCACAATCTTCCCGCGTAAGAAATGTTTTTTTTGTGCTTCATTCCGGTCGGGCTTGGAATTTTATGTCTATCATAATACCGTTGCAGGCGAAATAATGAGCCGATCGAGAAAAGCGTGAGTTTTCCATTGATTCTGGGAAAAGCCAAGAAGAGCTTTCTCGAATCTTTTTTAAAGCAAGGTTCTACTGAAGACCTGAAGAAATCCAACGGGAATCTGGACGACGAGCGACGATCAAGCATGGTACGCATGTTTCAAGAAAATATTCAAAAAGTTGTCGGTCCTGACGACATTTCTTCCTGTTTGCCAATTTTCATAAAGAGAATGAACACAGGAGGTTAAAATTTGGATACAGCATTGCCTATTAAATTGCTGGCTTGCTGAATTACGCCAATTTACTTTCGGAGGAGCCAGCATTTTTCGATTTTAGAACCACGGTAGGATTCCCCACCCAACCCGTCTTTTTTTTGTCAAGCAAATTTATAAAAAATATTCCTTTTTCGTGGTACTTGAAGAACGTGATTTACCCTGTTTCTTATTTCGCAGTCTTGCTTTTTTCGGGTGACATTTCGATGTATTTCCATAGAGTGCGACAGCGACGAAACAGAAAGTTGAGCTGAAGGCTCGGTGTGAATCAGTCGCAAAAGACACCCACTTGGACTCGGTAAAACAATCCAGGATCCTTGGGTCTCGATCCCCGACCCCAGCTGACCAGCATTTGCTCGCCAACAAGCCTCGAAACACCAAATCACCATTTTTGGGGCAAAAGGCGACCAAGAAAGACCTTGATGAGGAATCAGATGACCGGGAAATCAGCCCACAACCAGTCTTGAGACCCAGGTCTACCACTTTATCTACTTCCGGAGGCACTAGACTGAAGAAAGAATTGGCCAAGAGCAGACTTGCTGGGGATACAAGTGTTTCTAGTGGCGAAAGGGCCACAGAACAGGGAAGAAACTCACCTGTTTCCGGAGAAACTCCTCCGAGGTTAGTTCATTAATTCGCAAAAAGATTTTGATGCATCCTAAAATTAACGTTATTAAAAAAAAGAATAATAGTTTGCTGCGTGAAAAGTCTTACGATGCATGTGACTTGTTTCCATGAGCCCATTGAATCCCAGGCAAAGGAATTGGCTGAAGTTCTGCACATATCTCGAAAGACTAAACTTTTCACACAGGAGTTTCTTATCAGTGCTTGAGATCATTAGTTGGCTGTTTGTTTTCAGAAGATTCGCAGAATTCCACTCGACTTCTCGGGTTGGTTACCACAGATAAAGGCAATGTTCATTTACTGTACTTCAAATGCTCACTTGAGCATTTTATTTGGCCAGCACTGATTCAGAATTATCATCTCCAAGAGGGAATGGATGATTTTATACGAAAGTGATTCCTGCTGGCTTACAAATCGGCAATGAAAGAAAAATTGAAGAAGTGAGGACCACTTCTTTGGCCTTTGGTGAGGCTAAGTGAGGTTTGCCAAACAGGATTTTGGCAAGGCTTTCAAGCCTCAAAAGGAATATAGGTTGAATTTATATAAGTTGCTTTGGTGCAATGCAGAATGTGGCGCCTTCTTGGGGCCCGAAAAATGTGTACTATACAGTACTGTACCAATAAAATATTCTGGAAAACATTGATGAATTTCGATGCTTGAAATCTTGAAATATATCCCACATGAACTGGTTCTCCCTAAAGTAGTTATAATTTAATTCACTTCTCACAAACTGAATGAAAAAATAAGATAAGGACTGTTAATCATTCAGAAAATGGAGAATAATCTGTCAAACTTCAGATTGCAACTCATTTTTTTTTTATTCTTGTAAAAACTGAAATTGTATGCCAGAAGAACTTTTGCTGTCATTGTCTCCATTTTGTTCAGCGAGAAAACGTTTATGTAATTTCAGATTGCTGGTTCAAACGTCACCGTTGAGCATCTCAGCGCAAAATGTTCCTCTGGAACAGGCCAAACATGGCGAACACTCATCGTCAGCGTCGACACTGTCGGCGTCCCCGACGACTCGCCTGACACAAACCGGCGACGTCAGCTCATGGCGGAAACTCATTTTCCAGCGCATAGTTGCTGCTCCAAACAGTAAGTCAATTGAATAGCTTGTTTTTTCTCGCAAAATTTGATTTGTTTTTCCGTGGTGTATCCATACACTTATTTTTTGCTGTTGTGTTGAGACATAGAAAGTAGTAGTAATGCGAACCGAACCCGGAAATCGTGTCTGATTTCCAGCGCCAAACGAGATCCCGGGCGTGCTGCAAGGCGTCGGCTCGGCGGACCCGGCTGCAAAACGAGACTGGAAACAGCTCAAATTCCTCTGGAAAAGGGCCACTTTCAAGCAAATTCTCACTAAGAGAATCGAAGCCAAACTCTCCAGTGGTAATTCATCCTGTAAAATTTTTAGAGCCAAAAAAAAAAAGAAATAAATGGGAGAATTTAGACCTTTGCTTATTTTCATTTTATATCCTCGGCATCCACTTTGGTAATGTAGCAACTCAGCTTGGGATTTTTTTGTTTAAAAAGTATCTGTTGGTGAAAAATTGCTCTATTTTTTATAAATGTGACAGAATCAAATTGAATAATTTAATAATGCTCGAATCAATTTATTTTTCGTGCATCTCCAGAAATGTGACGTACAGTATAATGTTTTTTTGGATGGAATGAAAAAATGAAACCTGGGTTTTAAGTTAAAAATTACGGAACTGTGAATAATCATCAACTTTTCTTATATAGTAATGAGCATTTTGTTTGCCTCCTATATTTCGTAAAACAATCGAAATCGCTGAAATTTTTTTCGTATGCGAAGTAGAAATTTCAACTTGGATAATTTGATCAATTATTGACGACGAGGTATTGTTTTTTTAAATTGGCTTGTAGTATAAGTAATTTCCTGGAAATGTGCTTCGGCATATTTCATGAAGAGGTCATATTTTTGGGAAGACACGGTAATACAGTATACGATTCCGTGCATCTTCGCAAAAATCTGCTCGCACATTGAAGTGCTGTTCATTTTACTGAAACCTTTAGTTGAGTTAGATTTTTTAGATGCTACAGATTTGTTTTGATTTTTAGTTGGCAGCATGAAAAGAATCCTCTCCAAAATTTGCTTCAATTTAAAAATGTCTTTCGGAGACATTTTAACTTTACGTTGGTACTTGCCTAATTAGCTGGAATGTCGGCCTATGAGCGAAGAGTGTCGTCGGTGTCGAACCACTCTGGGATGGATCTGTCGACAGTGACGTCAGGAAAGACGTCGTCGGGTTCGAATCAAAAGCAGAAAAATGCTCAGACGGCAGAAGCTGACGCAAAATTGTGTTACGAAGACGTCGGAGTTGGGATTGATGTTGATGAGGAAGATGATGATCACTGGTCACTTTTGCTGAGAGCTGACGAAGTGCATTGTGACCGAATCGAACCCAGGTTGCTGGAAGATTCCGTGCGAAAAGGTACACACAGACATTGAAAACTGAATGTATTTTCTTCTTTACAAAACGTTGAATCACAAAATAAGTCAATGCCCCACGATTGAACAAACGATAACTCGCAGAAAATTTCTGCAATATATTCATGAAATTCTTTGATTTTTTCAGATTATTGAAAAATGATGACAACAATTCATTTCGCAAAATTTCCGAGAATAATTCTGCAAAATTGTTCCAAAGCAAATTGTCCAGACGCTCGAATTTTGGCGACATTTCAATAAAAATAAATTGCGCCTGAATGTTTCGAAGATTTTCACAGTCTTGAATTAGTCAGAAGGCATTGTTCTAGCAGTACTTATTTACTCGTAAGATCTGTTGCAAATCAAGTACTTTTTTGTGCATTTCGAAATGAATATGGAGCATGCTTCTCATCACGGATTTGTTGGAAATATCGCACAGAAAATCGCGTCGTTTAACTACAAAAAAAGAAAGGCAAATCAGAACTCGAACGTCAGTTCAGTACCGAAAAGTACCGAAATTAACAGCTCAGGTATACGTACAGCGAACGACGAACTTCACCACCTGAGCGATGACATGGACAGGAGGGGTTCAAGGCGATGTTTATATGACCGTGAAAATTGGTTGTCAAGATATTTCCGACTGGTTTGGGAAACACGCGATTTTTTGGCACGCAGTACATGTAAAAATAAAGTTCATCAACACCTGTTGCGTTCAAGGTCGGCTGGTTATGAGTGTTTTCTCCTGACGCACTCCAGCTTTTGCGCCGCTTGTCCAGGAAAGCTTCTGCAAATTTCCGAAATGACTCATGCTATTTTTTTTTCAGGGCGACGTTCAAAATTCTTTTTTTTTCATTGTGCGATTTTTTAAAAACATTTTTTGTGCTTTAAAAACTGTAGGGGTTCCTCGTCGAGTTCGGGGTAAAGTGTGGCAATTGCTGGTGCATCACACACGAGCTGTTGAGGCAGACAAGAAAGAGTCTAAACCGAGACCGGATTTGCACTCGGATTTCCCCTTCACAACTCCTTATGAAGAGCTGCTGAAACAACTCACTGCTCAACAACACGCCATTTTGATTGATTTGGGTGAGATTTCGCTTGGACACATGCCAAGTCCATTTTCAGTCTTTTTCTCGCCAAATTATGTAAGTCACGCGTCATATGTGCATAAATTTTTCGAGGCCAAGCTGAATCTCTTTTGAAATGGTGTACCAGAAAATTTCAAACACAAACGCAATTACGCATCGAGTGCTTTAGCAAGAAATTTAATAAAAAAGCAATGACACCCGTGAGCTAAATCAAAGAGAGCGACAAAAATTTATGCTTGTTCGGTACTTCTATATAAAAATATATATATTTACAACGAAGCCATATTGGGATTAGTAGAATAGCTTGGTTATGCCAAAGAATTCGTTATGAAGAAAGTAAAATAACATTCTGTCCATTAGACAAGGACCTTCAAAATGACATTGTCGTAAGCGATTATTCGTTATAAAGAGATTCATTTACAGTATTCTAGTACTGTACAGTGTTGCATGAGAGGATAACAAATGTTTTCCGCGTACAGTGTGTATGCTAATAAACTTCGCTAAGCACCCCACAGAGACGAGAAGAAACCAAACTCGGGAACGCTTAATTTCAATTTTAAAGTTTCTGAGAGGGAAAACCATTTGTATACGTTTGTTGTCGCATTTTTCAGCATACAGTTGACGTCACTAGATTCCAGAGCAGTTTGTCTGAGCGACTGCGCAGACCTTGAAAGATATTCTTGTAGACGAACACAGAAAATAGCTGGGATAAATCACAGGGTTTCGGCTTCGAAAAAATCCAAGTCTCACACTATTTACTAAAAACAAAATTCATGTTACGGTTGATCCAAAATGCATCAATGGATTATCCTGAGAATACTTAAAATATATAATGGAGGATTTCTGATATATATTGTGCTTCCCTTGTCGGCTTGATTCTCAATTTTTGTTTATACGTCATGATTAAACTTCTCGGGGTCCAAAAAAGTGGCGTGTTTTTGTCGAATAAAAGCAGTACAGTATTTATCATTCGATTATTTTGCAGTTCGAAATGCTTTTAATGCAACATAAGCAGTTTTCGAAAGTATTTTCGACAAATAAGGTAGGTGCATTTTCCATTTACTGTCCTTCAAGTGCAGATGCACTGACATGCGAACTCCCAAGGAACCCTAAAATGCAAACCCTTGGAAATCGGCGTTCCTGCAAAAACGTGCCGCGTCTGAAAACGCACGTCGCATCCCCGCCAAAAAATAAATGTGCAGAAATTCCTGCGCTTCACTGATTTGCCAAAAAATTCTAGTCGATGCAACGGAAAGCAATAAAAAAGACAAAGAAAAAAAGAAACGCAACCAACCAGGTGTCGCAGGGAAGCCACGAACCTTTTGGCAACTTGCCCAAGATTTATCCCTTCGGAAAATCTTTCGGTCACGGTTTTCCCAAATATTCCTCGTAAAATACGAGATACGAAAAATCGTGGGAAGTTTTCCTAAGCTTCGTTTGATTTTCCGAAGAAAACGCGACTGATTCGAAAATGATGAAACTAGTCCCTAAAATTGCTCTCTTCGTTTTCTGCACAGGACAATGACTGAGCATAAATTGAATTGCAATGCGTTCAGCATGTTCCCAGTTATTTTTTTGTGACAGATTGAACGATTTGGAAAAAAATCTTTGAAGATAAATGACATAAAGCTGGAAATTATCCTGCTACTTTTTCACTATAACTGGAGCTTTGTAGCTTTTCGACAATTGGAGTTGAAGTAAGCAAGTGTAGAAATAAGGCAATTTTCACATTTTAAAGATTATACAATTTTGACTCCCTGCATTACGATACTTTGGCAACTTTTTCTTTAAACGGAGATTATCCTTGTAGAGGATTTCGATTTCTATGAAATTATTCATTCCATTGTATTAAAAAGCCCACAGAATGAAAGAAGCGAAAATTATGGTGTGTAAACTTTACAGTGCATATTTTCCTGCGTTTTCTAAAAAAAAAAAGAAAAACCTTTTGTCTCATCTTATCTAAAGGGTCGAAAAATGCATAGCTTCAGTTTCGTACCCAATGACCCGAAGGGGAACTTCGGTGACACTGACATCTTTCCATGCAGAGTTTACGTATTGGCACACTATATAGTATGTATCGTATAATATAACTATCGTGGCGCACGTTTCGGTAGAATAGTCTGCTGTCGTGTCACGCAGCTCTCTTTCTGTCTAGTTGGGTCGCATGGCGTATCTGGCCTAGTTTTTTCTCCCAGTATGCGTTTTTGTTGACACGTAGCCGCGATACTACGGCATGCACGCGACGAACTGTTCAAGGCTGTTTTGCGAGACCTGTTAACGAAGTATTACACAAGGAAATGTTCGTATTAAAGAGCTTTTTGTAGGTGTCGCTCTAATCCAAAGTTGCCCATCCGTCCCTCATTGAATACTTGAACGTGATTAGAGAACGCATCAAGCCCGTAATTTAATGTGGATAGTGTACTGTACAATACTCGAATATTGAATTTTCAAGAAAATAAGGAAATTTCTTTCGTTCCGACCGACAAGACCGTGCGATGCATTAGGGTGAACTATAAATGGAAATTTTGGGAATTACTGGAGTTGCATAATTATGGCGTTGATATTATGGTCTGTTCAGTTAGAAAATGCCAGAACGAACCATTGTAGCAACCTTAAGAAAATAATTGATGTTTTTCGTTCAAGCGTTGCATAAGTGATGGGGATCTCACTGGAATCTGCTTCGAACTGGCAAAAAATGTTCCCCTTTGTTGAAATGGCGGATTATTTTCGCCTTTTTGAACTTTTCCCATCCTTTTTTCGAATAAAATTTCCTATTCAGATGGACTTGACTCTCCGACGAATTAATATTTTGTGAGTACGCAAAAGAGCGTGTTAAACGTCGCAATATTCATTGCGTGTAAAAAGAAGAACGAACTACTTGCGGAACATATAATTTTTCTGGCGTGTTTCATAAATTCCTGTAAATTCCAGAAAAATTCTGAAGAAAACTTGAAAAATTATCTTTATTATTTCGAGAAAAAAAGCTGAAGGCAAATGTTTCAATGTTTTCAGCTGCTTCACTTTGTTACTCTTCACAGCAAGGACATTTCCAACCCATCCCTACTTCAGCCAGCCGTTGGGTCAGGGCCAGCTGGAACTTTTCAACCTTCTCAAAGCCTATTCCATCTTGGATGGCGACGTGGGCTACTGTCAAGGCCTGTCATTCATCGCAGCTTTAATTATCATGCACGTGAGTCTTCCTCTTGCCACATTTTAATTATCGTTGAAAAATGCGTTTATTTTTTTTGGAGAGAACCTCATCAGGATCCGATATACAGCAGTTGGGCCTCGATATAACTCAAACATCCATGAGTCGAATAGTTCCCTATGCAACATTTTTTTCAACCTCCTGTCTGAATTTTATAATTCCCAGAGGGAATACTTGTTCAGAATTTCGAAAAATCCTCTTGGCAATCGACGAAATAACAATCATAATCATATATTTTTTTTTCCGCACCGACGATAAAACAGTGATCATGGAATATCGCAAATTTCTTGCGCAGTTTTCAGAGCGACATCTACACGATTTTACTCCAGACAAATTGATCTCTTCCTAGAAACGAATTACGGTCGAACCTCGATACAGTAAATCGAACCCCTCGGAGTGGAATATTTCCCAATGTCGATGAGTCCCTGTCTGAATTTCCTTATAAAGAATGCATTAAAAACCCGCCCCATAACTCTAAGGCTTTCGTATCCTCGAACCTCCAGAATTTGCATTTTCTAAAGGCCTTTTTGCTGCTATTTTATGGACACAGGAAAGAGAAAAGCAATGAAAATGCACTTCTATGTGCTTTGAAATGACGTGAACGACTATTTTTGGGCAAATGACTCCTCACCTTCAAGTTCAACCAAGATCCTTTCAACTCCTGTTGGAAGCCATTTAAGGACCGGAATATCACCTATTACAATTTTCTGTCATTATTCTTTTTTTTCTTCCCACTAGGGCAAAAAAAAAGAATTCTTTTTCATCCCCAGCTCGAAACCTCCCTAACTTGAATTTCGTTTTGCTGGTCCCTTATGAAGTCCGTCTTATATAAAGAGGTCATTCGAACTGTACCGCAATAAAGACGCGGATCCCGAAAAAGAAAGAGGGTTCCAAAGTATACTGTACTCATGCCCACCGTGTCGTCATTATATGGTGATGCAGATGGATGAGAAAAGTGCCTGGGACACATTTCTCCACGTGCTAGTGGAACGTGATCTACGATCTCATTACGTGGGGAACCTGGGTGGGCTGCAACTCTGCCTGTACCAGCTCTCACGACTGCTGGTGGATCGCAGGCCAGAACTGGCCCAGCACCTGGATGACCTGAGTGCCCCACCGACCCTCTACGCGTCACCCTGGTTCCTGTCCATTTTCACTGCGGATTTTCCCGTCGGATTTGGCGTCAGGGTCATGGGTGGGTGTCCCTGGAATTATGCACTGTACCTACATACGTGTAACTGCATCCAGGCGTGTACTGTGGAACTATATATAGAGAGAGAGAGCTGCTAAAATATTCAGCCGAGTCTTTTCTTCCGCTTCAACGCCCGTTCTTATTTTCTGTAATGTTGAGCAGGTGTCGCCTGAATCACGGCTGCAGAAGAAAATACAGTACAGTACAATATTTATATACCGAGATTGCTCAAAATTATGCCATCGTTTTAATAATAGAATGAGCTCGAAAACGTTTGAGGCATTTCCGAATCTGAAAAAAACAATAATCTGGACTCTGTTGTCCTACTTAGTTACCCAGTTACCAATTTCAATGTAAACATGGAATTTTTTCAACAACAAAAATTGGACCGCTTTTTGTTGATGAAATATTTTTCCAGTAATTTTTCATTGCCTATTGAACCCGACTTGCGAGCGTAACTTTTCTTTAAACTCAAAAATTCACGTGTTTCGACTTCTACAATTCTGTGCAGACCTCATTTTGCTACAAGGAAAATCTGCACTGATCAAAGTTGCACTGGTTGTCCTGGAGCGTTTTGAAGAAGAGTTGATGATTCAAGATTCGTTGGAAGATATCATGGAGTACCTGAAAACCACTCTACCTCAACATAGTCTGTTTCTGGCAAATCCCATTATACAAACGGTTAGTGATCTGCATTGAAAAACTGTGCATGCAGTTTTATAAATTTTTAAACTTTTGTTTCTAGACGAGGAACTGCATAACAGAACTCCGAGGTTTTAATTTGAATTATAATAATCAAAATAAATCGAAAAAGAATTAATCAGAAAATGCCCTTTTAAACTTACCCATTTTTATGCACGTGCGATGCATATTTTTTGGGGCTACAGAAATGAAAAAAATTCCTCAAACAGGCATTTCTCGAAATATGCACTCACGAGTTATTGCCAATTCTGCGTTGACATTGCTTGATGATTATCTTCGAGTAAAAAAAACCCCAATTTATTGAATAACATACTTCTTGAACACATACGCAAAGACCTTGAAAGATCCATGACTAGGAGCCCTCAGGGCTCCGTGGAGCACAAATGGAGGAAATCTGCAACAGAGAAATGTGGCACTTAACTTTTTGAGAGGCCCGAAATAAGTTTATCTTGTGCACATATAGCGCGTTGACTTGACTCGTCCTTAAATTTATTTCAAGGCTGCTGACCTGGACATTCGTGCTCAGCTGTTAACGTACGAGATCGAGTACCAGGTGCTGCAGGAAGAAATCGGGGTCTCGTCGGCCGAAGCGGAACGTAAGAAGGATCAGCACGCCAAAATCGTGGTGAACCTCCAACGTCACAACAGGTCATTGCTCGAGAAGCTACTCTTTGCTTTGCTAACGCACGTCTTTGAAGTCCCCGAAAACCGAGTAGTCGCAGTCCAACTTTACGCCTACTGCCTCTTTTACTTCGTCGAGCTCCCTTTTGAGGTCCATAATAAATATGCGCTAATATCGTGAAATTTTATTTTTTCTTCGGGCATTAAAACCCTGATATTCTAACTTTCATGACCTTCTTGAAAGTTCATGTATTCAATTACGTTTGCATGGAAATATTGTACGGCCATGTTAACATTTTAGTGCATAATTCATGAAGCAGGAAAACTCTTGGTGCGCCGTCTTGCATTTTTGAAATCGTCTGAGAGAACCGAAAGCGAACGATTGAATTTTAAAGAATTTATGATCATAAATTACCGAGGGGAAAAGTCGGGCATTTCATTAAGCTTTTACTAATGAACATTAAAAAATCCGAATAAACTCCAAAGCCTGGAAGTGAAAAAAATGTTGTGCGCTCGCTTCCGCGTGTCTTTAATTGCTGTACAATTTGCCTTTTCAATTTGAAAGCGCTTTTGATATGAATTATTTAGAAATTTTTCCGAATCAGCTTTTGAATTTTAAACTGAAAATATTAAAGACCCTGTCTGAATTCCCTTAGAAGCAATGCATTAAAAACCTCCTTAACTTGAATTCTTTTTCTCTGAAACTTCCATAAGTCAAATTTTCTGAGGCTTCTTGTATATTATTTTCTTGAAATATGAAAGAGGAAAGCAATAAAACACGTGACTTCATGCGTCTTGAAAGGAAGTGAAGTACTGCAATTATTTTATGCTTCCTTGCAACAAAAATGCTCGCTTCCTTAACTCAAAACCTCCCAAAATCAAAAACTCCTTAAAACCCTTCTGCAGGAAGGGGTTCTTTGCCATTGCAGAACCAAGTTGGGAATTTCTCCGGTGGGCCCACGTTTCATTTTTGCTGAAGGCCATGAAAGCCAAGCCATGATGTAGCCTAAGCAAAGTTGAACTTTGTCCAGCAAAAACGTGCTGCTCAGATTTTACAAAGTCAGACTTTTTCTGCTCATCTTTTGTGGCCTCTAAATGGGAAATCTTCTGGTGCCAAACATGAAAGGGTTGAGAACTTGAAAAGAATGAGACTAATCCACAGAGAGGCTAAAAAAGCTTAGCCTTGGTGCTGTATTTTTTATATTTTTGTGTGAACATTTTCTGTGGTTATTTTTTTATACGGTTCTAAAAGGACCTCAAACGGGACTCACTTGCCAATGCGAAAAAAAATTTCAACAAATTTGACTGTGTCTTTTTCAGACTGAAACGGGGAGTTCCCAGTTCAGCTAAAAACAAATTTTTTCGCTGGACACTGGATTATGATTTGTTTTTGTGTTTCAGGCGACAAACAACCACGTGCGAGAGTTGGAATGGCAGCGACAAACGAGTCCGCCTTCAATCGCAGACGCCGTCATCAAACCCATTTCCCCCTCGGCCTCTTCCGAACTTTTGGCGAATTCCGGAGGCGTCAAATCTGCGCGAATGTCGCGTCTCAGCGTTCGCACAGACTCGATGGAACATTTACAAAAACCCATGGCACAATCGTCATCGACATCGAGGCTGCCGGACAATCGCAAATCCGGACTGCAGCGCGAAAACCATCAGATGATTTCTGCGGCCGCTTTGCGTCAAGTTGGCCAATCTATGCGAGAATCTCGGTCGTACAGTCAGCAACACACACAACAACATCATCATTCCAGGCAACGAGACCTGGATGATGATGACGATTTGTTTTGCGAAGAACCCTATGGGTCCAATTTTGGGTCCGGGTCCGGGTCTGGCTGGTTCTACGACCTCGCCCCGGTTCCGGTGATTTCCATCAAGCCAGAAGATTATGTCACTGGATCCGTGAGCGGAAGTACCAGTCACTTGCAAAGCGTCGGAAGTGAGTTTGTCCCATCAGGTTTTAAAGTTGCTCTTTTTGAAAGAAAATTTATAAAAAATTTCAAAAATGAAATTCCGAGAGATCGGGGAAAAGGGTTTTGTTGCAATACTGTTTTCGTAAATCATACGGAAAATAAACCATGTACTGTACTTTCCTTGCTATCCAGCCAATTTTTTGTTAAAGTCTCTTTTAGATTTGCTGATAATTCTGTAACTGCTAATATACAAGGGATTTGCACGGTTCAAGTACCATGCACCTTCAAGTAAAATGCGAACCAGGGGTTTTCTGTGAACAATTTTGATAAAATTCTATCCCTGAGTAAGGCACGCAGCCCATTTTCAGGAACTCTACGACGACAATATGTAAAAAAAAAAACCCACTTCATTTTGACTTAAACACGAATTGACCATGAATTCAACTAATTTTCAATTTCTTTCATTAAAATACATTTTTTTTAATCTTGGAATTGGTTCAACATTTCAACCAAAAATGAATCAAGTGCAATGCACAACTTAATTCCTAAAACTTGTTGAACATTTTAGACCCACCCATTGACACTCTTTTTTCTCTTGCGCTCTTTTTTCCTCTGAAATTTGAGAAAAGGTGTGCATGGTACTTCATTGGATATGATATTTTTCATCAGTTTGGATCAGCGTCAACAAATTTATTCTTACATACTGTTCAAGTAAAATGCTTTAGAAAGTTATCATGGACCGCAACTGAATAAATTGAAGTTTAAAAGCAAATCCAAGCAGGTGATTGCGTTTTTACAATTCAGTTCTGTTTTAGCCATACGAGTATGACTGCAATTTCTTTCTGAGAATCTTTCATTTGAAGGCATTAACATTATTTGGAATACAGTATCATTAAGCTTAAAGGATATAGGTTAGAGCAAAAGTTTGCAAGTATAAAGCCTGCTTTTTTATTCCCCCCCCCCCCCCAACAAAGTCGACCCACATGAAAACGTCGCGTCAGGTCATCGTCGATTGTCGCACGACGAGTACGGAGTTCCTTCGTTTTGCCTGACCCCGAAGAAGGAGACGGATCCGATTTACGATGGACCCAGGTCAAATTCGGAGCCGAATCATCGACGAATCGCCGAAGACGTCCACTTGGCACTTATGGACTCTGGTGACGACGACTGCGAGGCCGAGGATGACGCGACAGTTCGTGACTGTCGATTGCGACTTGCGGGGATCCGACGAGGCATTGAAACGGGCATCAAAAGACTCGCAGAATACCGGTGAGTTTTATATTATTATAAAAAAAGAGCTTTTTGACCATGATCTTGAGAATATTCTGGCTCTCAAGAAAATTCCGCAGTCTGAAGAATCTGCTTTTTCACATTTTGCCCTGTGATGTGCTTATTCTAGAAGATAGTTATTAGTGATGATGCGAAAAATTAATCCTGTTCAGTTCTAGTACAGTAGAACCTTTTTTCACCATTTTGTCTTTCTGCCAAATATGTTGCAACGTGTATCACAAATGATTCCCATGTGGTTCTTTTTTCAAGATGATTATAAAATATAATCAGTATGTAGTATCAGTATGTATATCAGTAGTATGTCTTTGAATCCGTTACTTCAATTTTTTCCCAGCAAAATTACATTTTCTTGTAATTTATCAATGGCGATTTTCTCTGTGTGCAATTTCCGTGTCGCTGCATTTTCTCTCCCGAGGTTGTATTCATTGGATTTTTCTCCCTGCTGATGCTGAAATTATTTTTCCGCTGGCGTTTTCTTCTTTGTACCAATAACTAAAATGAAACGCGATGTAGAAAATGATTCAAAGCAACAAAATGGGAGTCCGGAAAAATTGTCGACATGGAACAAATTCCAACAAGGGATTTTTCGTTGAGATAAATGGCGAAGAAACAATCTGTAACACACAGCTCTATAGATAATAACTCTTCGGAAAAGTTATGTTCGCGAAAAACTTTCTGGAGCTAATGAAAAAAACACGATAAATTCAAAAGAATGTTCTGACACCAGTTGAAAGTGTAAAGTGCATGGATAACCAAGAGTACTGAATGGCTGATGCTCATCTGCTCAGCGTAGGCGAAATATAATTGAATCCTCGCTTTTCTTTCAATTTTTCTTTGAAGTTCGCTGAAAAAATCGTGAACATTCTTAAATTCTCAGCAACTTCTCCGAATGCTCGTTTTTGATGTCTCGAAGTTTGCTCACTTGCGTCTGGAAAATTTCAGGAAAAGTGTGCATACTGCTGAAGATGAGCTTCTGAACCTGCGTCGGGGTGACGTGTTTTCGTTTGGCGCCATTGAAGAATTGGCGTCGACAACAGCGAAATTGCAGTCGGCGGAATTGCAACTAAAAGCCGCAGGGGACTGTTTGGACAAGGCTTATTCCCATTTGCCATCGAATCTTCGTGGAACAGATTGAAAGAACCCACAGGAAACAATTGAAGGAGAAAAATATGGCATTTGTCTTGCTTCGAAACAAGCCAAATTATCGTTGTCTGTGATGCTCAAAATATGCAAAAAAAAGAGAAAAGAAATATCCTCTAAAAGTGCTTTGGCCCGTAGGCGAGAAAAAACTGAAATGTTTCAGCAAAGCTTCTCACCTTGTTTTAGATTTTTTTTTTACGATGGAAATTCCTTTTCATTTTGCCAATTGCGGAATTCTCTTGCTTCATGGGTTTTTCCCTACTCTGCAGCCTGTTTTGTGTGTTGCAAACATAGGTTCATTTCAAGCTTTATCCTCGAATTGATTAAAAACCCAAATGCTGACTCAAATGGACCAGATTTGTCTCATTCCTTTGTTTTGATCAGTTTTCAGGTGATCTGTACAATTTTTCTTTTCTGCTGGAAATTCCGAAACCAAGAACATGCTTTTAAAGTTTTTCCGATTATGCAACTCAATCATTCACGGAGAAAACAACCAAGGACAAAAGTACATGCGAAGAAATGTTGTAATAAATATTTACATTATTTAGAGCTAGAAGGATGAATAACAAGAGAAAAATTTTCTCTAAAATGTAGTGAACCAAGATTACATTGATTTAAAATACGCCTGAATAATGCACTTTGAAGCAAGTTCAGGTGACAAAAAGGAATTACTACATCAAACATGGGACTACTTCTATGCGTCGAATATAATGTTGGACTTTGTTTCGAATTAAATACAGTGAGACCCCACATGCAGACGCCTCGACCTGCGGACGATTCGACATAGGGACACTTATTTTCCCAGAAAAAATCAATAAATAATGCCCAACATGAGGACACTGACTCAACATAAACTTGCAAATACATTTCAGGCCAAATTACAAGAAACAGATATTTCCAACCCAAAAATTGATGTACGAAAAGTTCTTGGGCATTTCTCTCACCAAATTACCATCCATTTAGCTGATTAAAAAATTTCCTCCAGCATAGAGGGATTTCTACTTTTTTCACTTGCATCTTATTTTTGTAAAATTTCAGAGTACAGTACAAAGATACACTATTCAATGCTCCAAATGTTCTTCTTGAGTTAAAAATGTATTCACTAATTCAAATTCAAGTGGTGAACAATTTTTTCAGGGAATTCTGAAGAATATTTCTTCCGCAAAACACCAATTAAAAATTACATAATGTAAGTCTATGGGAAAACAAGACTCAACTTAGGGACATTTTGACTTGGGGACACTCTTGATGCACCAATTACATACACATCTTGGGGTCTCACTGTAATTGATGACTTCAAAAATTAAGGGAAGGTACAATAACTAGGACTTTTTATCTGAAGCTACTCAATGTTCTACGTTGAATTTTGTTACATTACGACACTTAATTGAGCAATTCATTCAAAATAAATTCTGCTGAAAGTGCTCAACCAGTAAAAGTCTGAAAAAATACAAAAAAAAAGTTTGTGCTTCTAAAGTTGTTCAATGTCGTACACATGCTGGAACTTGTAATGCACAATAGTTGTGCATGCCATTTGTGAACTTTCAATGTCACCGAACATCAATCCAGTCTCGGGAAATTCTGATTTTATGTTCAAATAACTTCCCTTCTGATGCAGATCCCAGGATCCCTTAATAGTTGCTAGCTGCAGTGATCTATACGGACTGAAGATTTTAGTTATTCAATATGAGATTCAAAATGTACTACAGTATAATTTGAATAAATAATCACACAGAACTTTCTTCCTCCTGACGTTCAACATGGTGGGCAAATTTTATTCGGTCGAAACAAAAGTGAATGCATCGTCAGCATAACGTCGGAACCTGAGTATGACCACGTGGCCAAAAAAAAAAGAACAGCGTTCCTTCGCAAAAAACATGGAACCTGGTCGATTCACTTTTTTCCAGGTAACCCTTATTGAGATCAAAAAGAGAAAAAATACTTTTTCTCTCCTCAGCATGAAAAAAAAACGCAAACCGGAAATGACTAAACCCGATATTCTTTTCGAGAATTCAGACAAGAAAAAGGCGGATTTTACAGGAATAGTGATAACATGGACCTCGTGAAAAAGGACTCCGATATGCTGAAATGAGCCTCTCTCATCCCCTTTCACAACTTTTTCAAGGAAGCAAAACGCTGTCAAAAAAAGAAAAGAAAACAACCGCCCATAATGACGATGAGCGAAGAAAATGAAACGTGAGCAAATTCCGCAAAAAAAAAAAGAATCAAAACAAGAAATTCTTCCAACTTTTTTTCGAATTGCACGAAGCCCCTTTTTATCGTTTTTTGTTTGTTTTCAAACTGAAAGACGTTGATACAAGGCAAGCTTCGATCCGAAAAGATCTCAGAAGTGGCGCATGAGGTGAAGAAAAACGGGGTCTCAAACTCTCTTTCTCTCTCTCTCTCTCGCTCTGACTTTCAGATATGCAACTTGGAAGTCGAAGATTGAACAAGGAATCTGCGAAAAAGTTGAGCTGATTTTTTTTCTCTCTCTCTCTCTCGTTTACTTTGGACAAGAAACAATGTGTGCCGAAGATATTTGAAGACAAAAAAGAAAAGAAAAAAAAGCAAAACGAACTTTCTTATTCGGTTCATGGAGATACACGAACCTCATTTTCTCTCGCTTCCCCGCCCACATTTAAACCCCCAGAAAAAAAGTGAGGTCTTTGGGCGATTTCCAACAACGCACCTTGCTCATAACGCAGAACGAATCGTTCAGGAAATCACGGAAACTTTCCTCGGAAGACTTGGATTGCGGCGGGATATCAATTTTTCTCTCCGAGTTGCCCGCAGAGCTTTCAAAACAAAACAAAAAAATGCACAAGAAAACTAAAATTTAAAAAAAGAATCCCTCCGTCGCCCCGTTCGCCATCATAATATTCACTTGGTTTGTCCACAAAGTCGGAACGAGTTGAATGAACTTTACAAGGACAAAGCGCTGCCTTTTGCATTTTTTTTTATTTATTGCAAAAGGACCTGCCGCCGACGACGAAGGGATTTCAGGGTTGTCAAGTGGCGCCCGGTGGGGCGTGGACGGCGACGGCGGCGGCGGCAATGGTGGCAAGCAAGGCGCCTGCCACGAGCCCCGGCGTCGCGCCGCCGTTGGACATGGCCGGGATCCTCACTTCCACGTCCGCCAGCTTGAGCATGGATAGAGCTGGAGTGTTGCGGATCCGAGGATCCGGCCGATTGATCAGCTCCTTTAGGCTTTCCAGAGCAGGTGTACATTCATTCTGCAACACGAATATATGCAACAGAACTGTAATTACTCGCGTGGCATCTTTGCCCTTTGGCTTCAAAGTGGCCCAAAACAATTTATTCCCGTAATGTTAACATGGTCGACATTTTTCGAAGCATAATGGTGAATAAATAATACTATGCCGTAAATTAATATAATGAGATAGGCCAATGGTCCACTACCCGTGGTTTTTGTTGTTGTCAATTTGCAGGACATTTTCCGCAGCATAATAAATGTATCAAAAGTATAGAAGCAAAGTCTGGCATCTATATAAAAAATACTGGAAAGACAGCAGTGATTGAAATTATGTTATGAAAAAATAAAAGTTGGCTTTTCTCCTCGTAACTTTTCGGACAAGATTTTCAAAGCTGATATGCTTTGGGAAATTTGACAGTACATGATGGGTACAAAACAGTTGGGGAACAGTGTGATAGATCATTTCAACTGGATTTGAGCCAAACATGACTCCCATTCCACTATTTGCACCTGAAGCTCAGACCACTAATTTCCTAAATTTTGCTTTAAAAATTTACACCCGCATACCACCCTTTTTTGATTCGATTTTGCAGAAAAAAGGAAAATATCAAAATGTAAATGCCGTTCTTTCCGCATTGAAATTCTTTCTTGCTCCAGCTAGTGAATATCGGACAGATGTCGCCTGTAACAATAGTATGACGGAAAATCACCCACACAAAAATCCAAGGACAGTGTAAGGAAGATAATAATCAGACATTGCTCGGACTAAACAAAACCCTCATTGTGAAGAAGCGTGCGATAGGAGAAAGAAAATAACCAACTTCGGGACCCATAACGCAAAAATTGCAAAAATCGAAAAGAAGAAAAATTTAAACGATGCTACGCAGAAACATGACATTTTAAAGTACATGTACTGCATAGTGTAATTCTGATAAAATCGCAATATTTGTAGTTCGGATCATTGTCTACCTTTAGAAACCAGTTATTTAAACAGTAGCTGCGTGGTTTTTTTTTTTTAATGTTGCAAAGACGCCTCTTTCTCTCCTGGAGTTGAACATCATAATTACTTTCTATTTTCAATACTTCGACAACGAAATGCACTACAGTACTCCTTTACGAGAATGTACCAATACCGTAACTGGAATTTTTATCGGCAGGTCAGCAAAACCGCTGCCATTCGAAGCCTTCCTCTATAATCTGCTGATCTAATACATGTGATCCCTGCAGCAGTGAATAACATGAATTTGACGCAAGTCTCGCGCATACATTAACAGAGTGAAGAAATAAATGCCGATCCATGAATAAATTACCCTTTCTCGCCAGAGGATCGCACTAGGCACCGTCCCATTCACCAAGAGCTCATCGGTAAAGTCCAAAGACCTGGCTTGCAAAATAAGGTTCTCTTCTGTGGAGTTGTAGAGAATGAGTCGACACGCCGTCTGCGAAAGATACACGATTGACAAAAAAAAAAGTTTTAAACAATTACCAAGATATGACAGAATAAAATGAATTTTTTCCAAAAAAAAAATATCGAATAAAGAAGTATTTCTAGATGGAAAACGGGGAGCAGCAAGAATTCCAACGAGACCTTGTTCGGTGCGTCGGGAACAATGATCCTTTCTAAAAGAGGGATCGTGTCGTTGACAAGTTTTTTTGTGAGCGGGGAAAGGATCCTTTCGTCTGCCGCCGACTTGGGCTCTTTGTTCTTTTGAGGAAAGCGAAGAGGGTCGAGTATGTAAAGAGGACGTTTTTCTCGTTCTTTGTGACGTCTTTTTGTGTAAGGTTTAGCTTTGTAAAGCTTTCGTTGAATAATGGATGTGGAATAAAAAAAAACAATAAATCATTTCTATTTAAAAACAAAAAATACTATGATTTCGAATCAACTCGATGAGGAACTCTTTCCGTGACTCGATGACAAATATATTTTTCATTCGAACTGGAAAAAAGGCATCGAATTTAAATTACGCATTTATGATTCAGATTCTCAACGTAGAACATATTCTTGGCATATCTAAAGGGAACTGTAGCTCGCTTCTAAATTCGACAGAAACTGGATTTCACAGCGGCGAACAAAAGGTATTCGCAGTTGAACCTTTTCAAGTTGAACTTCAAGGAGGGACCAGCACAGAAATTCGAGTTAGGTAGGTTTCGAGTTTGGCAAAGAAACATTTGTTGGGGGATAATTTTCCTCTTTTCCCCGAACAAATTTTTCTTGGACTTGAATTGCTTTTTAAATGAGTTGACAGGATGCTGAACTCAGAGACAAGGGTTCATTCATCCCATTAGCCTTTCACTTCCTTTCAAATCACATCGTTACATTTATATTGCTTTTAATTTTTTCTTTATCCATAAAATAATAACCAAAGGGCCTCTCAAAATTCGATTTATAGATATTTGAGGAGAAAAAACTTTGACTGAGTGAAGTTTTTCTGAAGAAAATTAAAAGAGGGACTTGCCAAAAATGTATATGAAGAGGTACTGTTTTCGACTCAGAGAGGTTCAAGTAATCAAGGTTCACCTGTATTTCCATTACAAATTTGAATCTCTCATTCAAGAGCAAAAAATATCACTGATAAACTGCAATTTAAGCACGAAACTCGAAAAAACAACAAGCACTTTAGGTGGAACGTTAATTTTTATGACATGAGGTGTTAAACTTTTTCTTTAGTCGTTTTAAACTTTCTAACAAAAATTTAAAGTGGAGATTTATGCCACGTCAAACTAAGCGCATTAATACTTGAACTACACCGTATTCTCTATGTACTTTGTGAAGATGCATATTCTATGAGGTAAGAGTTGCAGCATGCATTGTTACATAATCTTTAGACTCAAACCTTGAGTTATTCTTTGTTATTTTGCACAAAAAAAAATACACGCAGGTATATTCAAGAGCTTGGCACATCTCATGACATTAAAAAAGAATGAGTGGAATAATATATGGAAGCACCCACTTTTGTCGGGCTTGGTGCAGATGAAGGCGCCAGAGTAGCAGATGCACTTGCCGCGATAAGCCTGGTAAGCAGGGGCGCCATGCTCATAGGGCGCACTGAGGGTGTAGCAGCCCTGGCGGTCCACGCAGTCCAGGGCGCGGCACAACCCGCGGGGGTTCCCCCTGGCTAACATCGGGCACATGACCATGCTGCTACCACGGTACCCCGTAAGCGTTTCAAGGCTTGTGAGGCCAAAGCGGCCTAGCATTTAGACTTACTAAGCTAAAAAAAAATGACACGCTGAATTTTCACAACTTTAAAAAATAAATAAATAAGCATACTGAGCAGCATGACGTACAAATATAAGGAATTTACGGGAAAAAGATTTGATTGACTGCGGACTTTCGAAGAGTTCAGTTAAATTATTCTTGTTACCTGATCGCTGCTTCTCGAAATTTTCAAGTACTTTTTATTGAGTTTTGCAGGCATGTAAATGCATATATTTCCTCGTAATGTATGATGATTTTTCGGAGTACAGTGGACGAATTTTTCATTCGTCACATGCATTGGAATGTTCATTCTAGAGTAGACCAGAAAGAAAATAATGTACTGACTTTTTCAAACAGATGATGCAGCTTTCACATACAGATATAGTATAAGTTAAGCAAAGGTAAGGGAGGGAGACAGAGATATACTACGTACTTAATTACCGAAATTGACGTACTCATACCGGTTATGTTATTAAACGTTTACGTGATCTTTTGACTAGTCTAGCAAATTTTTATTGTCGATTTTCTGCGAAGATATTTTTAGGGTGATTGCCTCAGTTTCGTGTACTGTACCTTGAAATTATGTGTTGGTAGCCAGCCAGCATTATACTAATTATTATAATTATTTTTACAGCATGCCTCAGATTTTGCTTTCATTTTGAAATTTTCGTATAGAAAACAAAAATGTAATAAAAAATCTGCATATTTTGCGACAGCGCAGTCTTGAAATGTAACAACAATTTGCGGAAAATTAGCTAACGTATAGAGGCGATTTCAGGGTGCAAAAATTTGAAAATATGCTTCCGTTTCCAGCATGGAAAACAAAGGGCCAACATTATAAGATGAATATACAGTCCACACTCCTCCTCCACATCAGCAAAGAGAAAAAAAGACACTTTTCTCGAAAATTTGTGCTTACGGGCGGGAAGGACGATGAGAACCATCTCCATCAATAACAACCTCGGGCGAGGGTAAAAAATAAAAAAAATGCGACAAAATGTCGCCGGGGACAGTGTCCTTTTTACATCTTTCCTCTCCCTCTTTTCATGTAGGCATTCGTGCAGAAGGTGGCAGGGAGGCATGTGATTCGGTTCTGTATAGGCTTATCTAGACAGCGTTATTTGTCTTCTCCGAGCCTCGTTTTCTCTCTGGCCCCAACAGCAGCAGTGTTTTCATGTAGGCATTCGTGCAGAAGGTGGCAGGGAGGCATGTGATTCGGTTCTGTATAGGCTTATCTAGACAGCGTTATTTGTCTTCTCCGAGCCTCGTTTTCTCTCTGGCCCCAACAGCAGCAGAAGCACTAAGAGGCCCGGCCGCAATGAGCAAGCAACCCGTGCAGTACCCATTTCCTTAGCCTACTTCAATCATTGTTCCCCCGCAAATTTACCCCTGACCTGATGGGTCTGCCGGCCCCCGTGAAACATGAAATGGCCCGCGCTGGAAATAAGCTTCGAGCGAATATTGGCATCCTGGGATCGGGAATCGGGTTCGAATTATTTCATGGTCGAAGTTGGAGCGTCGATTTTTTTTCCCCGCACTGAGCTTTTTCCAAATTGCGCGCGATATCACAGAAAACGTTACAGAAAATATTCTAGAGAGGTTTGGTAAAACCCAACAACGGTTTCAGAAGAAATGGGACCTTGAAAAGAGTCAAGCTCCCCAAAGTTCCAAAGAACCATCTTTATTCGAGTACCTCGGGAACCAATTTCCTCGAAATTTAGAATGAAATAAGGGGTGCTCGTCATAGATGGGTATACATTTTTCAAAAAGTTTTAGAAGTTTAAGCTGTGTGCATTGTCACGGGTCGAACAGATGTCGCCCGCTGACGCGCCGCTTTTCTCGGGACGACTAGATGTCGCCCGAGTCAGAGGAACAAACAGGAGAAGAAAATTCGACGCGGCGTACGAAAACGCCACGTCGTTTAGTGACGAAATTTATCAGTTCGAAGCGCGTGTTGTGCGTTCAGTGAGAGCAAATGCACTTACCCTAACTGTCGATCCTTCCATAATCCGATAAGTTTCAGCGCCCTTCACCAAAGCACAAAATCCTGTTGAAGAAGAGTAACATAAAATGTTCGAATTGTGAATGGTTTCTCTGAAATTAAAAATAATTATTCCACGACATGGACCAGCAGTAGTTACACTGGCCCTTGAAAATTAGAATCAATGCTGCTGATTTAATAAAAAACTTATTATAAATTGTTTCGCTTGGGTGACCAAAAAGTTACTGTGCTATGGTGCACTGAGAAACTTGTAATTTAATTTGCTTCAAACAGTACTGTGCTATGAGCAATATAAACCTTTTTCTGAGGATAGATGTCGCTTGCGTTCGAGTAAAATTTTTGATTCTGCTGTAACGATTTTTTATACTCCACGGTTTCTCTCTTACGGAAATGGTCAACAAATTGACTATTTAGAGGAGCAATGCGCTCAAAATATAACCCAATTTTGTTTACGCCTCAAGCAAACGTTAAAAAAGTTGACTTACCACATTTACAAATTACTTTGTGATTCAGCGAGCAAAAATCGCGAATTTTTCCTCACGCAGAAGGTTTTTCGACCATCTTTTTTTTTAGATTATATACCCAGCATTTACGATGAGAAAACCCAACTGTGACGTTTAAAATGTATTAAAATGCAGAAAAAAAAACGGTAAAAAAAACTAACTGGGAGGAATTGTTGTGGTCTTTTCAGTAGTGGTGCTCGTGGTGGTCGTCGTGGTGTATGGGGGAAACGTGGTCGTCTTCTTCGTGGAAGTCGTCACAATGATCGTCGGCTCGTCATCGTCATTTCCGGGCCCCGGTTTCCCGAATGACGACGGCGGTGCGGGTCGTACATAGTCTCTGTCGCTGTCGGACCTCGAATGGGAAGGACCCTGGCGTGGCGAAGGCTCCAAACCGCTGTCGACTCCGTCCGACGGTGCTGTCGGCTGTGAGGGTTGCTGTTGACCCGTGTACGGGTTCTCCACGTGTTGCACGCCTTTGTTTGACGGCACTGCTGCTACCCCGAACTTCTTCCTCAGGTAATCGTCCAAAGCCTCATCTGAAGAAGCACGAGATAGAATAAAGCGAGAGAGAAAGACAAAGGAATTCATTAAATGCAGTTCATTTTAAAAATGTCGACATTCCGAGGAGGAATTATTGATCACAAATCAGCTGAATGGCTCTTACTCTGCTGTGGTCATTTTTCCAATCCCCAAAATTAAAATAAATGCAAAATGCAGGTGGACTGTCTACAAAAAAATTCAAGGGGCCAGAAAATATTCGGCGCAGAGAGATTTTTGTTCTATAGTAAACTTCTATAAAACATAAGGAGAAAACCCCAATGTGACCAATTATAAAGTCTTCATACAGACACAATTATTTTAGACAACATTGATGTACAGAGAGTCCAACTGCAACAAAATCCGATAAAACTGATCAAACCAAATGAACAAAACAGCTGAAGGCAACCTTCACTTGTTTCAGAACAATTTAAAATAAGTTATAGAATTACTTTTGCAGAATTACATTCATTCATAGATTGCTGAACTAGCTTTCTTGAAATTTGTGCACCAGTGAGATAGGAATCTTCGGTGAAAGTTTTTGAAATATTTTGCCTCATTCTACCGCTGTTTTGTTTTCATGTAGGCATTCGTGCAGAAGGTGGCAGGGAGGCATGTGATTCGGTTCTGTATAGGCTTATCTAGACAGCGTTATTTGTCTTCTCCGAGCCTCGTTTTCTCTCTGGCCCCAACAGCAGCAGCAGCACTAAGAGGCCCGGCCGCAATGAGCAAGCAACCCGTGCAGTACCCATTTCCTTAGCCTACTTCAATCATTGTTCCCCCGCAAATTTACCCCTGACCTGATGGGTCTGCCGGCCCTCGTGAAAACATGAAATGGCCCGCGCTGGAAATAAGCTTCGAGCGAATATTGGCATCCTGGGATCGGGAATCGGGTTCGAATTATTTCATGGTCGAAGTTGGAGCGTCGAATTTTTTTTCCCCGCACTGAGCTTTTTCCAAATTGCGCCCGATATCACAGAAAACGTTACAGAAAATATTCTAGAGAGGTTTGGTAAAACCCAACAACGGTTTCAGAAGAAATGGGACCTTGAAAAGAGTTGAGCTCCCCGAAGTTCCAAAGAACCATCTTTATTCGAGTACCTCGGGAACCAATTTTCTCAAAATGTAGAATTAAATAAGGGGTGCTCGTCATAGATGGGTATACATTTTTCAAAAAGTTTTAGAAGTTTAAGCTGTGTGCATGATTGATGGTACTTGATTTTACCGGCAAATTGGGCCTATTTTAAAAGAAAAACCTATTTTGAGGGAAATAATTAAAAATTAATTGAATTCAGGTTCAATAAATGCATAAATTCAAATTTGGGTGCTCTTGTATTTGAAATATTTACGTTTCAGGGCTACTAAAATGGGGTGCGAGCAGTACTTGAGGATAGAATTTTGTAAAAAAAAAAAAAAAGACTAAGAAACCCTTGCGCGTGTCTTCCTTGAGGTCGCGTGTTACTCAAATAAATAATGGCGTTGAGCTTCAAGAAAAAGCTGATTCAATTTAAAAATTTAAACTGAATTATAAATTTCGCAGCAAAGGATATAAAGCAATAAATCGCTTTCGACATCACGCTCGTTCGAAGGACACCATAAACCTCCCCGAAATGACATTAATTTTCATTTGCCCAAAAAGACACATAGTAAACCTTTTTCCTCCATCAGGCGATAAATCTCAATATCTAATATTATGTACCTCAATGAAATATATTCGGGACAGGAAATAGCTCCGGTCTAAAACGTCTCGCAGTGTTTATTCGACACCAGAAATCGAAAATAAGGACAGGCGAAAATGAAGATTCACGACCAAGACATTATCCGGAGAAAATCAATCTTTTTCAATCTGATAGTGACGAAATTTATCAGTTCGAAGCGCGTGTTGTGCGTTCAGTGAGAGCAAATGCACTTACCCTAACTGTCGATCCTTCCATAATCCGATAAGTTTCAGCGCCCTTCACCAAAGCACAAAATCCTGTTGAAGAAGAGTAACATAAAATGTTCGAATTGTGAATGGTTTCTCTGAAATTAAAAATAATTATTCCACGACATGGACCAGCAGTAGTTACACTGGCCCTTGAAAATTAGAATCAATGCTGCTGATTTAATAAAAAAATTATTATAAGTTTTTGCGCTTGAGTGACCAAAAAGTTACTGTGCAATTTAGCACAGAGAAACTTGTAATTCAATTTGCTCAATACAGTACTGTACTATGAGCAATATAAACCTTTTTCTGAGGATAGATGTCTCTTGCGTTTGAGTTAAATTTTTGATTCTGGAACGGGGTTTTACTCCAAGGTTTCTCTCTCATGGAAATGGTCAACAAATAGACTATTTAGAGGAGCAATGCGCTCAAAATATAACCCAATTTGTTTCTGCTTCAAGCAAACGTTAAAAAATTTTACTTACGACATCTACAAATTACTTTGTGATTCAGCGAGCAAAAATCGAAAATTTTTCCTCACGCAGAAGGTTTTTCGACCATCTTTTTTTTTAGATTATATACCCAGCATTTACGATGAGAAAACCCAACTGTGACGTTTAAAATGTATTAAAATGCAGAAAAAAAACTGTAAAAAAAACTAACTAGGAGGAATTGTTGTGGTCTTTTCAGTAGTGGTGCTCGTGGTGGTCGTCGTGGTGTATGGGGGAAACGTGGTCGTCTTCTTCGTGGAAGTCGTCACAATGATCGTCGGCTCGTCATCGTCATTTCCGGGCCCCGGTTTCCCGAATGACGACGGCGGTGCGGGTCGTACATAGTCTCTGTCGCTGTCACTGTCGCTGTCGGACCTCGAATGGGAAGGACCCTGGCGTGGCGAAGGCTCCAAACCGCTGTCGACACCGTCCGACGGTGCTGTCGGCTGTGAGGGTTGCTGTTGACCCGTGTACGGGTTCTCCACGTGTTGCACGCCTTTGTTTGACGGCACTGCTGCTACCCCGAACTTCTTCCTCAGGTAATCATCCAAAGCCTCATCTGAAGAAGCACGAGATAGAATAAAGCGAGAGAGAAAGACAAAGGAATTCATTAAATGTAGCTCATTTTAAAAATGTCGACATTCCGAGGAGGAATTATTGATCACAAATCAGCTGAATGGCTCTTACTCTGCTGTGGTCATTTTTCCAATCCCCAAAATTAAAATAAATGCAAAATGCAGGTGGACTCTCTACAAAAAAATTCAAGGGGCCAGAAAATATTCGGCGCAGAGAGAATTTCGTTCTAGTAAACTTCTATAAAACATAAGGAGAAAACCCTATGCGACCAATTAGAAATTCTTTATACAGATACAATCATTTTAGACAACATTGATGTACAGAGAGTCCACCTGCAAGAACATCCGATAAAACTGATCAAACCAAATGAACAAAACAGCTGAAGGCAACCTTCACTTGTTTCAGAACAATTTAAAATAAGTTATACAATTACTTTTGCAGAATTACATTCATTCATAGATTGCTGAACTAGCTTTCTTGAAATTTGTGCACCAGTGAGATAGGAATCTTCGGTGAAAGTTTTTGAAATATTTTGCCTCATTCTACCGCTGTTTTATTTATTTTTTCATTTCTAAGCCGTTCCCTCTCTGCTTTTCTAGAAAGTCAATCTGAAGAGTTCTGCCATGTCAGTATTTCGTTTTTCATTTGAATAAAGAAAGGTCAACGAGGTGCATGCAACTTTTCTTTCATCAGGTTGATACTCTCAGCCAAAGATTCCGCACATGTACGCAAAATAATATCAAGTTTCGGCTCATCAAAATTGCCGTTACTCCATGAAACTTCTGATAGGAACATGGCTTCGGCGCCATAAGAAAAATTGAGGTGAAAACTAATTGCATCAGCGCAAAAGTCAATTCCAAGCAGAGAATCATGCCTGAAATGGGATCAAGTTTTTCAGGAAAACTTGGATGTGATTAATAATTCAAGAAGAAAAAAGGCCATACTCATTTAGAAAAAAAAGGATTGAATGTATGTATCTTTGATAATATATATTTTGAAGCGAGACCAGAATTTGAAAAATTATTACTAAGTCTGAGCTAGGATTGCTTAAACCGTAATGTTGAGGATTTTTCGATTTAGAAACTCCCCCAGGGCTGTACTACAGTATAGAAAAAAATATGTGCTTCAAAAGGAACTGCTGAATTTGCTCTCATCCAGCAATATTCTTTCTCCCAGCAATTATCTCCGCGCACTAGTCGACTTCATCAGCCTTCTTCGTAAATTAAAGAACCGTGCCTGGAAAAGTTTCTCTCATCAATTTTTCTCCTTCTGTCTCATTTCAGCCAGTTATGAGAGATGCACAACAATGGTGAGCCGAGTCAATAACTCGGTCGGACCCGAGGCCGTAAAGTCGCCTCTCTCTCTTTCTCTCTCTCTCTTGGACCCCCGTTTGTTTGACTGCGAACAATAGGACCCCGGCCCTGGAAAGCCGGGTTCGGAAGCCGCAGAGCTCGTGTGTCCGGTGAACGATCCGTTCATGCCTGCCTGCCCAACCTACCTACCTGGGTCCCTACGTAAACGTGTTGTCGTGGGCGCTGACCGTCTTTTGCAAGCTCTAACCTTTGCCAACCTCCCTAAAATGTCGGGACTGGTTCCTGAGGCAATAATTTACATGCGATCAACATCCGAGATTCAATACGTGCCGGGAATCTGCGTCGATAAAAACCTGCCACTCTCAAGCTCGACGATATCACGCGCCACGCGTCAGGCACTCTTCCCAGCACTCATCTGCGGTGGTTTCATTTACTTATTCATTTTTATATCATCAGCGTTGAAATAAAAAACCCGTGGAATATGTATTTGAAGAGGAATACAAGAAACGCAACCGGGTTGCGTAGGATCCTGAATTTAAGTTATTGGTGACTTATGCCTCGGACGCTTCAAGACTTGGCAGCAAAATCTCCCATAGGGCATCTTCAATGAATCTGTTGCATATTTACAATGCAATTCATTTCAAATTCATGGGGAACATGTTGTTTTTTCTAGATACTGTGCTGAAGTCAGTGTTCTGGATGAGAGAGTGCACTGAGAAAAACCCGGTCAAGATACTTTTTTCCTCTCCCAACTTTAATTTCAATTGAAAGGCAGGCTATAGTTACACACAACCTTCATGGTGAAGAATCACTATTCTCTTTTTATTTCTTTTTTCTAAATCTTTAGACCTTTTATATCTGTACTTGGATTTGGGTTTGTGCAAAAATGTGAATTTTTTCCTTGTCGTGTTGAGATTTCAGCATTCCATGTGAATTGTGTCATTTCTTTGCTGTGAAATTATGCACTAAATCAACCTGGAAAAATATGAGCATACATACGAAGTGTCCCTTGAATAAATGTTCTTGGCTGCAAACTGGCTGACTACCTGTTTTATTTGTTCCAATGCACCTTTTTCATATATTATTCTGTTGGGTTCTCATCAATGCCCAATAGTCTAAATAATAGAGGATGCATTTCATTTCTTGTGATAAAATTATGGGTTTTCATTTAATTAAAATTTAACAGCAAATGAATGAACTCAGAATAATTCTATCATGGGCGGATTGTATATTTTTACGTATCATCACCTGACTTCAATTCTGAACCATGTTTATAGCCATTGTTATCCCAATTTCCTTGAAAGAATTAACAAAAGACACTTTTGTTTATGAGGAAGCGTCTCTCCTCAGAACATGATTAATCTTTAGTTCATAAACTCTCTAGAATAACTTTCCAACCAGAAGGTTTCATTCTTATAGCTGCGGTATTTAAAGTGAATAGACTTCTTGTTGTAGAGTATGATAAATATGTTTCAGTACTACCTTAACCAATGCCAGATTGACAATGAATATCTATACAGTACATACACTTTGTGGTACCCTTACAGACTCAAGAAAAACCAGATGCAACTGCACAACCAAAACGGGGATGTTGCAAAAGGGGACAAGGGAATGACCGCAAACCAGACAATGTAAGTGGGCGCACAATGACCTTGTCTGCTTTGGAGCAGCAAGTTGCTAGGAGATACCTGACATTCCAGAATGTCAAACACAGAAGAGCAATATTATATGTATGTTGCAGGACATACCGGATTATTATTTGGTGACACCATAACATGCCAACTCCTGCTGAGAGTTTATCATTAAGATGGCCAAGAAGGCGACTTTATTCAGCATGGATTAATTCTTAGCTCAAAATCTTCAAATGTTTCAATGAATCATTCATTCTACCCCTGCGGTACTTCAAACTTCGAATTTGAAGACATGGATCCACATTTGCCACTCTTATACTCATTTTTCCAGTACAGTACTGTACTATTTACCACCATGGGAGTGCTCCAAGTAATAGTACTTCAAAATTCATGGTTTAAATCACTGAAATTCCTTGGTAAAGGGCTTTCAATTTTGCTAATATATTTTACGACGGGCAGATATTCATCTTTATATTTTTCTCCTTGAATCATGGCTATAAATAGGTAATCTTGATGATTTTGTGTACAGTTTGTTTATCGGTTTTAGATAAACCTCGAAGGGACTTGATCTGGTTTGATAACCACTACGTTCTTTATCTGGGATTCATTCTTGATTTCTAACGTAAGTTCCGTCAACAAGTGATATATGACATGAAGTGAAGGCTCAGTCCTTCACCGGGGAAAAAGACCGGAGGTCACCAAAGGCGAAACTTCTACTAACACTATTCCCGGACTTTCAAAGTAAAGGCACAATAAAGAATCCCTCTGCATTTACCCTCGCATTCCAAAGCTAGTCCACCTGGGGAATATTGAGTTCCAGGACACTTTCCAATTTGAAGGGCGAGACGCCGCAGGGAAAGTAATTTATTTCTCGCGCCCCACTTTCGATGCACGCCCCGCTTTGTACACCTTTTTTCTTTATAGGCCTGGTCGGAAAACCCCGGGAACTTCTTTCTGAAGGGAACGAAGAATGAAGAAAAGGCAATGAAGAATCCCCCACTTTCAGGTCCTCGGGAGAAAACGGTGGGGTGAAATTTCTCTCCAGAGACGTATTATAGCGAAGATTAAAGCGGACGAAGGCCAACTTCCCCTGAAAAGAAACCGTGCAAGCGGCAGGGCGTTTATAAAGGAAATCACTAACCCTTTAGTCACCACCTTGAACAATAGTACTACAGTATATGCTGCGAACATGAAATACTTGAATAATAAAATATTATATCGCAGTTGAACCTCAAGAAGTGGAACCTCTCTACCTTTATCAATTTTTCTTTTCGAGTCCCTGTCTAAATTCCCTTTGAAGAAATCCATTTTCATAACCCGAATTTAAACGATTTCCCTCTCAATCCTCCGGAACTTTAACTTTCTGTAGGCCTTTTGGCTATTTTTTTCATTTACAAAGAGAAAGCCAATAAAATTATAACATTGTGTTTTGAAAGAAAATGAAAGACTAATCAGGCAAATTAACCCTTGCATCCAAGGTCAGCATCCTGTAACTCATTTAAGAATACATTTAAAGGCCAAAGTATCACAATTTCCTGCAATTTCCCCACAAGAAAAATGCCTGGTTTCCTAATTTGAAACCTCCCCAAGTCAATTTGTTTTTGCTGGTCACATGAAATTCGACTTGAAGATATTTAACTTTGAGATGATGATAATGCAGTTAAAATCTTGTTGCGACGAATCTCGTCGAAATGAATTATCACTTACAACCAATTCGCTCTTCAAGTCCTTGTCCAATATAGCTGAGAGGTTACTTTAGTTCGCTTATAAGGTCCCAGGAATGGCTTTGTTGGGACAAGAAGATTTTACTGACTTTCACTCATTTTTTTCCCCCGCCTGTGATTGCAAACTGCATTCCAGTAAGACCACCGGAAGAAGTGAATCACACCAGCAGATCTCACAATACTCACCATCATGTCACACAAGAAGAAGCATCAGCATCACATTTCATGCAAGTAAATAAGGATGACGAATGGACTGCTCAGGAAGCAACTGTTCAGCAGTGTCCAACGAGACCAAAATGAATCATTCACGGGAAAAGGCGGAAACAATGGCCTGTTCAAGCGTTGCCCGTCGTTTCCGCGAAAAGGGACGGGTGCGATATCCGCACCTTCTCCCTTCGAGCACACAGGCCACTTGCTAGGCAAGTACGGACGGACGGGTTGGATGGATGGACCCAGGGATGCATTTGCACAACAGCACCCGCGACTGGCAGAAAACGTTCGAGATTGGAAACGGTTGGAGGGGTAAAATGTCGGGACTGGTTCCTGAGGCAATAATTTACATGCGATCAACATCCGAGATTCAATACGTGCCGGGAATCTGCGTCGATAAAAACCTGCCACTCTGAAGCTCGACGATATCACGCGCCACGCGTCAGGCACTCTTCCCAGCACTCATCTGTGGTGGTTTCATTTAACTATTTATTTTTATATCATCATCGTTGCAAAAAAAATAATAATAACCGTGGAAAATGTATTTGAGGAGGAATACAATAAGAAACGCAACCGGGTTGCGTGGGATCCTGAATTTAAGTCATTGGTGACTATGCCTCGGACGCTTCAAGACTTGGCAGCAAAATCTCCCATAGGGCATCTTCAATGAATCTGTTGCATATTTACAATGCAATTCATTTCAAATTCATGGGGAACATGTTGTTTTTCTAGATACAGTGCTGAAGTCAGTGTTATGGATGAGAGAGTTCACTGAGAAATACCCGGTCAAGATACCTTTTTCCTCTCCCAACTTTAATTTCAATTGAAAGGCAGGCTATAGTTACACACAACCTTCATGGTGAAGAATCACTATTCTATTTTTATTTATTTTTTCTAAATCTTTAGACCTTTTATATCTGTACTTGGATTTGGGTTTGTGCAAAAATGTGAATTTTTTCCTTGTCGTGTTGAGATTTCAGCATTCCATATGTGAATTGTGTTATTTCTTTGCTGTGAAATTATGCACTAAATCAACCTGGAAAAATATGAACATACATACGAAGTGTCCCTTGAATAAATGTTCTTGGCTGCAAACTGGCTGACTACCTGTTTTATTTGTTCCAATGCACCTTTTTCATATATTATTCTGTTGGGTTCTCATCGATGCCCAATAGTCTAAATAACAGAGGATGCATTTCATTTCTTGTAATAAAATTATGGGTTTTCATTTAATTAAAATTTAACAGCAAATGAATGAACTCAGAATAATTCTATCATAGGCGGATTGTATATTTTTACATATCATCACCTGACTTCAATTCTGAAACATTTTTATAGCCATTCTTATCCCAATTTCCTTGAAATAATTAACAAAAGACACTTTTGTTTATGAGGAAGCGTCTCTCCTCAGAACATGATTAATCTTTAGTTCATAAACTCTCTAGAATAACTTTCCAACCAGAAGGTTTCATCCTTATAGCTGCGGTATTTAAAGTGAATAGACTTCTTGTTGTAGAGTATGATAAATATGCTTCAGTACTACCTTAACCAATGCCAGATTGACAATGAATATCTATACATACACTTTGTGGTACCCTTACAGACTCAAGAAAAACCAGACGCAACTGCACAACCAAAACGGGGATGTTGCAAAAGGGGACAAGGGAAATGACCGCAAACCAGACAATGTAAGTGGGCGCACAATGACCTTGTCTGCTTTGGAGCAGCAAGTTGCTAGGAGATACCTGACGTTCCAGAATGTCAAACACAGAAGAGCAATATTATATGTATGTTGCAGGACATACTGGATTATTATTTGGTGACACCATAACATGCCAACTCCTGCTGAGAGTTTATCATTAAGATGGCCAAGAAGGCGACTTTATTCAGCATGGATTAATTCTTAGCTCAAAATCTTTAAACATTTCAATGAATCATCATTCTACCCCTGCGGTACTTCAAACTTTGAATTTGAAGACATGGATCCACATTTGTCACTCTTATACTCATTTTTCCAATACTGTACTATTTACCACCATGGGAGTGCCCCATGTAATAGTACTTCAAAATTTAAGGGTTAAATTAACAAAATTCCTTGGTGAAGGGCTTTCAATTTTGCTAATATATTTTACCACGGCAGATATTCATCTTTATATTTTTCTCCTTGAATCATGGCTATAAATAGGCAATCTTGATGATTTTGTGTACAGTTTGTTTATCGGTTTTAGATAAGCCTTGAAGGGACTTGATCTGGTTTGATAACCACTACGTTCTTTATCTGGGATTCATTCTTGATTTCCTTGCATTCAAGGCAGTTGTTCACTATATACTGTACTTCACTTCCGAGTCAGGAAGTGGCCCCTTTTTCTGGCCTCCAGTGGTTTCCGCTTTGAAGATGATTGTGATAAGGGCCTGAAAGTTTCATTTGGCACAATAAAGAATCCCTCTGCATTTACCCTCGCATTCCAAAGCTAGTCCACCTGGGGAATATTGAGTTCCAGGACACTTTCCAATTTGAAGGGCGAGACGCCGCAGGGAAAGTAATTTATTTCTCGCGCCCCACTTTCGATGCACGCCCCGCTTTGTACACCTTTTTTCTTTATAGGCCTGGTCGGAAAACCCTGGGAACTTCTTTCTGAAGGGAACGAAGAATGAAGAAAAGGCAATGAAGAATCCCCCACTTTCAGGTCCTCGGGAGAAAACGGTGGGGTGAAATTTCTCTCCTCTCTGCATAATATCGCTTCTAATTTCGCCTGCTTCCGGTTGAAGGGGACTTTTCTTTGGCACGTTCGCCGTCCCGCAAATATTTCCTTTAGTGATTGGGAAATCAGTGGTGGAACTTGTTATCATGTACAGTATATGCTGCGAACATGAAATACTTGAATAATAAAATATTATATCGCAGTTGAACCTCAAGAAGTGGAACCTCTCTACCTTTATCAATTTTTCTTTTCGAGTCCCTGTCTAAATTCCCTTTGAAGAAATCCATTTTCATAACCCGAATTTAAACGATTTCCCTCTCAATCCTCCGGAACTTTAACTTTCTGTAGGCCTTTTGGCTATTTTTTTCATTTACAAAGAGAAAGCCAATAAAATTATAACATTGTGTTTTGAAAGAAAATGAAAGACTAATCAGGCAAATTAACCCTTGCATCCAAGGTCAGCATCCTGTAACTCATTTAAGAATACATTTAAAGGCCAAAGTATCACAATTTCCTGCAATTTCCCCACAAGAAAAATGCCTGGTTTCCTAATTTGAAACCTCCCCAAGTCAATTTGTTTTTGCTGGTCACATGAAATTCGACTTGAAGATATTTAACTTTGAGATGATGATAATGCAGTTAAAATCTTGTTGCGACGAATCTCGTCGAAATGAATTATCACTTACAACCAATTCGCTCTTCAAGTCCTTGTCCAATATAGCTGAGAGGTTACTTTAGTTCGCTTATAAGGTCCCAGGAATGGCTTTGTTGGGACAAGAAGATTTTACTGACTTTCACTCATTTTTTTCCCCCGCCTGTGATTGCAAACTGCATTCCAGTAAGACCACCGGAAGAAGTGAATCACACCAGCAGATCTCACAATACTCACCATCATGTCACACAAGAAGAAGCATCAGCATCACATTTCATGCAAGTAAATAAGGATGACGAATGGACTGCTCAGGAAGCAACTGTTCAGCAGTGTCCAACGAGACCAAAATGAATCATTCACGGGAAAAGGCGGAAACAATGGCCTGTTCAAGCGTTGCCCGTCGTTTCCGCGAAAAGGGACGGGTGCGATATCCGCACCTTCTCCCTGGCCGATTGCCAGCAGCATAGATAAGTGCCCGATTGGCAACAACCCGCCGCAATTCATTTCGTCGCTTTCATTCCTCTCTCCACACAACAACAAGAAGAAGAAGAAGAGAGGAAAGGCTTCTATTTGGGCTTTACACGAGGCTTCCAGGATATAGAGGAAACCACGTGGAAACCAGCGCCACACAGAAGAATAGAGAACCACCACATCATGCGAAACAGGCACCAATTTATGAAATAAGTCAAGTCCGGTTCTAATAAATTTTTTTAAAAACTGTTATCCCAATTCTGTGAGAGACTTAACAAGAGACACTTTTGGTTTGCTTAATCTAAAGTACAGAGACTCTCTAGGACAATGTTCTGACAAGAAGATTTAATTCTTATAGCTAGGGTATTCAAGTGAAAAAGACTTCTTGTTTTGAGTATGATGTGTGTTTATTTGATACTGCCTTAACCAGCGTCAGACCTACAATGAATATCAATACATACACTCCGTGGGACCTTTATAGACTTGAGCAAAACCAAACACGCCTGTGCAACAAAAACAGGACGTACAAAAGGGGGCCAGGGAAATGACTGCAAACCAGACATTGTAAGTGGGACATGCAATGACCTTGTCTGCTTCAGAGCAACAAGTTGCTAGGCAGGAATTTACTTGACATTCCAGAATGTCAAGCACAGAGAAAAATATTATTGACCTGTTGTAGGACAATTTATTACTGTATTTGGTGACAATATAAAAACCTTTTTTTCATAAGTTTCGATAACACCAGAATTATGCTGGTTTTACTCTGACCTTCACTAGCTGGCTCTTGTTTCACAAGAAGCGGGTTTCTCCGTAACCATACCAAAGTCAAAATATCAACATGAATAAAAGCCTGAAAACAGGAAGAACTGGAAGAGTCCGGTAATACAGTAGAATCTCGTTTTAACGAATACGAATAATTGTTTTCGTCCCTGTCTCGTATAGCAAAAATGCTATTTTAATTTCGTTTCAACACATTTTCGCTTATAACGCAGCTGTTTTCAAGGTTCCAAACGCTTCGTTTTTAACGGGATTCTACTGTGATCATTATTTTGGGAATGCGTGTCTTCTAAGTTGATATTTTTCAGCTTATACATGTAAAAAAAAAATTCAATATTCTTCGATTCTTTATTGGCAATCTCTAAATTCACTTCCTGAAATATTTTCAAGCAGATTTTCACGCGATATGAAGCATAGTGCGCAATTTGACAAAATTAGAAAGAAGAAGAATTATTTCAATAACTTTCCGGGTTTTTCAGAATACCTGAAAAATTTCGTCGCACGTCCTTCCAAGAGAAAACAAAATTGGCGGAATTTTCTCCTCTTATGGTCGCCCACGACGAGAACGCCCCCATACAGATAATCGCGATAAGACCTATTTCTAGCAGAAAAAACTTTTTAACAGGCGCTTTTTACTTGAACAAGACGCTTCTGCTGATGAGTGAAACTTTTGAGAGACCCTAATTGTAGCCTTGCTCGATGAAGGAGATGACAAAGACAAGTGGCAGCATATCAGCGATGTGAGGAAAACCCTTGGGACACGAGTAAGTTCCCGACGAAGTCTTTGACAAGCACACACACACACCACGAGTACGTTTTTTTCCACCATGGATTTCCTTTTGATTTATCGTAAATGCCTATTTGGCGCAATTTATTTGATGCTCAAGGAGTTCTGTGCTGATTTTCCCACCCGTTTGATGTACTCGTGTAGACTTTTCTTCTTTTTCCCTTCCCGAAGAATTCACAAACGTACGCTTGAAGATGTCACGCAATTTTTGCCCTGTCTTGCGGGAAATTTGAGAAATTTCGAGCAAGGATTTTTAAAGTTTTTCAACTTCAGATGATTTCTTTTACCTGCCTCCGAAATTTCACGGAAAAATGGGTCCGAGCTCCGGTCCATCAAAAGGAGTTTTAGGATTTTTAAAAGCTTGATTCGGAACTTTCATGTGAAATACCGTTCAAGTAAGATTCCAAGTATGTTTAAGCATCCCTTTAGGAATTTTCACGTAAGCTTTCGCATCTGGTTCGACGATTTCAATCGGAATATTTAAGTTTTAAAGCCAAGATTGGGTCATGTAATCCTGAAATTAGAATTGATGAAGAGAGTCTGGATTCCCACCCGAATACAAACGTGAATTAGCAGAATATTTGAAGAGCCACACTGAAACATTTCCGAAGGTTGAACAAGTTTGATTCATCTTTGCTTTGGCTTGATTGTCGATGTTCAGAAAAGCATAAAGTTGAATAATTCGATTGATCGCGGGGTACACATTCATCAGGGTCAACTTATCGACCTTGATGAAATCTTTACGTTGATTGGTACTTTCGAAGCTCGTGGGATGCTTCTTCTTCCTCGTTTGAGATCCGTGTACCAGACCGGAAGCAATCCGAGAGACAGTAAGCAAATCCAATACAGTATTGAAATGAAGACTCGACTGGTGGCTTATGCACATTTTGAAAAATCTCAAAATGTTAAAATACTGTAGACGAATTCAGACCTCATGCTTTTTAAAAATATGAAATGGATTTTCAGTCGAATACGATTTTCAGCTTCTGCTGGTCCTTCAGATAAATATTTTCTTCGAAAAGTTAGAAAAAAATTCCTACAAGGCTTATTCCCTAATGCAGTAAATGTATTTCACTGCGTAGAAAATTGAGTTGAAGATCATAAATCAAACTTCCAATTTGCAGTTTCCCTAGTTTTTCAGAATTTCACGCATAATATTGAAGTCAAAGCTATACAAAATTTAACACATACATCAGTTCCGTTTCGCCAAGTGGGGAAGAGAAATCTGAATCACGAATCAAACTTCCGTCTTTCAGTTTTCATCGAACTGTCTTCAAGATTTTTTACGCATGCATTTCAATTAGAGAAAAACCTGATGAGTCAAGCATGACAGTACGACAGTATAATTTTTCATAGCGATCCAACAAAGACGTCATGGATGCTGAGTAGATCAGGCTTTTTGTTGCCCAATTTCCCAGGTTTCCTTTGAGAATATTTCAGCGAAAACAATTTAAAATGAATAATGTTCTATTCATCATTCCCCCTTCCTCCAACAGTTTCAAACACACATTTTCCGAAGATTATTTTCGAAAAATTATATAATAAAAATCTTATGTGCTGAGGCTGTTCCACAAAGAATGGGAAGCACTTACCGACACAGGGATTAAGCCAGAGGAGACGCTGCCAGCCGAGGCAGTTGTACACGTCAGCGACAGGTGACGACGTCGACGGACAGTTGCAGGGTACGCTTAAAGAAGTGCCCAGGGTCCTGATTTTTGCTGTCCTGCATTCCTGACGTCGCCCGGCGCAGCGCAGAGTGTCGCTGTCGACTGCACACGCCTGCTCAAACGACTCCAACACCGGCCTATCAATGCAAAAATTAAATATATTGAACAACAAGAAATTGAAGCTCATTTACGCATTACAAATAAAATTGGAACATTTTTCTGCGTGTTTGTGGGTATAGGTACCGACAAAAGCAACGCGGACCAATCTGTTCGACATTTCCCTGAAAAATACCCAGATTAACCCGTGTTGGGCTTTTAAACCATCATAAATTGGGTTCAATTTTCACCCCTTCCAAATGCGTGATTTGAAAACTGTTTTAATTTTGAATGGTATATATAGATCTTTTTCCCTCCTCAAATTAGTCAGTTCTTGTAAATTCGAAAATCTATCTGAGAATTTAAAACAACACCGTATGTTTCGGAAAACAATTTCGGTTTCAGAGTCACGGAAAATAAAAATGCATTCATCAGCCTTTGGCTGGGCTGAAAGCCTCTTGTAAATATCACAACAGAATTTCGAAATTATTATTATAATTCGAAATTATTCCTCGAGATAAACTATATTGGCACTGAAATTATTCAAGTTTTAGCAGTTCAGATGTAAGATAAAACCATCACTCATCCATGATCACGGTTTTGATTCAGAAAGGTTTTTCGAGTTATACTCTCGTTATGTGACATTTTTAGTCAACCATCAATATATGTTTGAAATAATTTTGAATGCTGTGACCAGCACTTTAATCTGCACAAAACCCTGGGAATTCGAATTATTTTTGATATCTCCCTTATCGATAACCTGAGTATTATCATAAGACACTACTGGTAAGTCCTCAAACAGAGACGAGGAAATCTATAGAGAGATTTGTAAACGAGCAGCATTCATCGACCCACTTTCCAGAAGTGGATCTTGTACAAATTGATGCGGTAGCAAACACATGTCCAACACAATCACATAACACTTATTGGAAGAACCCGTGCTGTTAATACATGCTGAAAAGTAAGACAAACATAATTATTTTCCATATTTACAACCCCTGAAACAGACGAGGCATTATTTCCGGCGGGGGATCGTCACGTAAGTCCGAGCTTATACATAGCGGTCATATATATACGCCTAGAAAGAGAGAAATCCTTTTGTGTGTCGTCGGCCTTCCTTTCCTTGTTTGGGCTTCGTCTGGAGAATAAGCTGGCAAGGGGGGTCCGGACTCTATCTAGACGTGCACTGAAGATGATTAAGCGATCCTTCGGCTCTCATCATTTTCCACTCGACGATGAGCCCCGGAAACCCGGTGAAACACGATTCGCCCATCTTCGGGTGGCGGGAATGGAGAAAAAGTGGCCTGAGGGGACCTGGGTCGCCGGGCAATGGATCACGCGGAATAAGCTTTTCCCTGACTGCCGCCCCCCGCATACGCTTTGGGCGCCGCGGATGGTGCGGTGTGGAAAGTTTTTATTTTTTTTATTTTATTGCGCCTCGGGAAAAGGGCCGGGTGAGAAACCGACCCAGTTTTCCCTTCGCTGCTAATGCAGCAGTAGGACAGGGCCTTCCAGTTTATTTCTGTGGATTTTGCAATTTTCAAGCCATGGCATTATTAGTAGACCACCTGGCTTCAACTGCAGGAGATATACACTGGCGACTAATAATGCGAATAAGAACCCAACTTTTCCATGCAGAAGTACTGCACTTTTTCAGGACCAGCTTTCTGAAAAAAAACTTTCGAGGGATGAGACAGTAACCTGTGGGAATCATTAACATAACCAACTAAAAAACAGATACAAAAGACAGAGTGGAAAAAATAAAACATGGACGATCAGTTGGTTTTTTGTTGAGAACATGCAGTATTTCAATGGGATACCTTGAATATTTTTTCCTAGTTTTTTCAGAATGATTCCTTGTGTAATTTGATGAAAAAATTACGCAATTGTTGCAGAAAAGTAAATCTTGATGATAAAAGTCAAGCAACTTTATTCAAGTCACTGTTTTCCCTCACCAGCATCAGCTGAAGAAAGGGATGCTAGAGATTCTTATCACAGAAGAAAAGTTCTTTTCAATTAAACTGATGTAGCTTGAAAATGGTGAGCCGGAGCAATTTTTATGTTCCATTAAAAAAGATGAAGAACTTCGCGATCTTTCATTTAAATGTCGCGAAAATTTGTATCTGCAAAATTGACAAAGTTATGAGCTTCTTAAAATCGCGAGTCGGGAGTTGCGCCATACGCGGAGAATTTTTCCTTGGGCAATTCTCGCGAATTTTATTTTATTTTGCGACTGTGTGCGATTTTATCAATGATTGCGTGGTGTTTTTTAAAACCCTTTTTTAGTTTTCCATGTCATGTGATGCATGCAGAAAATATTCAGTCTCACTTCAGCACTCAAACGAATCGGACGTTTTTGCTGTGGTCATCTCTGCCTGTGTTTCAATAGCTTCTTAAATTAAAATTTGCTCAGGGGCTGCAAAACCACCCTTTCACATAAGATAAATTTAGGCTCTGGGATTTAAGTCAGTCTATTAAAATCCCCCACACATAATTCACAATAAGGAACACTGGAAACACGACACAAGGGAATATACAAATTAATTTTCGCCCAAAAAAAAAAAAAAACGAGTATACAAATTTGTCGAAAAAAAGAGAAAAAAAGAGCATCAATCCTCACCATGAAGGTTCTGTGAAGATTGCTTTTAAATCAAAGTAACAGTTCCGAGGAGAAAAAGAAAAAACCTTGAGAAACAGCCAAAAATCCGGAAATAAATCAGGCACAAAATGACTAACGTAAAAATAGGAGTTAGTCTCATGTCAACTGACAGCACCGTTTAAATGTTTTAATGATCGATACGAAAACGCCTCAATCCAATGAAAAAGGGAAACAAATTGATTTTCCTCAAGAAAAGGTTGAAAAAACGTAACTGCATGGAGACTTCGAACATTAAAAAAAAGATTTTTAAATTAATAAAGGCATCCAATTGAGAGTCTGGATCGTATTTTAAAGCCAATTTTCAAGCTCTTCTCGACTCTCTCATCTCTTGAAGTCGTGCATAAAAACGAAGAAAGAATAGTGGCTGTGTGTTTAAACCTTCAATTTACATGAATTTGTTGTACTTGGTAATCAAGTTAAAACGACGGAGTTAGACCCTTTTATAAAGAAAAGCAAAGCTGCGAAGATCCAAGAGGATTTTGGGAGTCTTTATAAGAAAATTCGGGATATGATGTCGGGATTTTAGAAATACAACAATTTTCAAGTATAATATGCGAGCGTTTTTTATCCCCTTTCGGGAATGCCCTGGGAAAGCCACACCATGTGTCTATTTTCAGACGCTAGGAAAAAGGGGTGAGAAACCATGAAACTTCTGACAATAAAAAATATTGTTTTTTTTCCCTACTAGAACTCGAGGCGTTTTTGAATACGAGGCGGCGGATGAAATGAAGTACAGTACTTAAATGCGAAATTGTGAGATCCACATGGACTTCAGCTGAAAGCAAATTATCGCAAAACGACGCGCAATTTTCATACGGTTGTCTCAATGGCAGTGACATGATTACGTGATGAACTCGTGTACATGAATATTCATTTCACCCGAGACAGATGGAATTTCGCGAAGTACTTAGAACTAGACGTAAGTTGTTCTGTTACTGTAATATATACATTTTTCAAGTTTCGTTTCCTCATTCGTCATTATCAATAGCGACGGAAATTATTTACGAGAAAAAAATTCGAAAGAATAACTCCAGCAAGGAACAGAAATGAAAATCCATGGAGAGGATTTGATGCGATTCGGAACATTAGTCTTTTTGGCACTCGATTATTCGAGGTTTGGATGTTTCAATTAATTTCCAAAAAATCACGCTCCTTCCACGGCTTTGATTCAAAATTTAGCAGAGCCACACATTAGGGACGATACCTTTTAGCAACATTAGTATAGGTCTTTTTTATGTTTGTGTTTTAAATCAAGTAACTGTGTTATTACAGGTTTTAAAGGTCTACTGCCCAGTTGACGAGCTTCATGCTCATTAAATTTCCATTTTGCATTTTCAGGTCTAATTTTTTCTGGAAACCTTCGGGACTTATAAAGGCATTTTTTTATGAAAAAGAAAGTAAGAAAACTTCTGAACAAATAGTTTACTGTAAATACGTGATATGCTCCGACGGTTGACAAAAAATGACGTGTAAGGAACCGCCTATGTTAAATTATCTACTAGTTCCGTAAGCTTTACCAAGTTGGGGACTCGTTTATAATTATTAATAAATAAATAAACTAATGTCCCGGACGCGGCGGGAACAGAAATTAATTGGGTGGAAAAACCACCCAAGAGGAAAAACCGCGAAAGGAAAGGCCAACGAACTTTTACCCCCTCCACAAAAAATGAAATCTGGCGCCAAGACGTCTTCGACTCGACTTTGTCGAGCCAATCAGACGCCTTGGCGCCAACCCCCGTCCTTGATCCACATCCTGGATCAAGGAAAAATCTAGAACAAATCAAAATATTAATAAATACCCGATTTACACAGTAGA